ACAAACCGCATGTTTTGCGACCGATAAGAATCCCAAAAGCGTCATCAAGCTGCCAATATAAATAAGCCTGTGAATCTCCTAGATTCATTCAGTTCTGTTACGAAGTTCTGGTGTTTAGTGTTGACGTATTTCTGCTGACTCTCTTTCCGGGACCTTAGGTAATGTTTCAATTTCAAATATTTTAATCTATTCATCATGATTGTTGTTCTCTGTCTATTATCTATTTTCTGCAACAAAACCATTGGGTTAGCTTCACAACTCAAGTCTCTTTTCCAACATGTATCTTACCCTGAATAACAAGGCCGTTTTGTCATTCCCTAAGGATGCCCGTGCCTTTTTACCCACTAAGAATTATAACCTAGTCTTTATTTTTTGTATCTGTTAATCTTTAATTTCTCATGTAATTTGTACCATCAAGGAACGCCCTATACAAGACGCTCATTGATTTCACTCCCTATCATTCCAAATCTCCGTATATACTCTCTTTCATTTCATTTCAGTAAACATTGTTAACAACTTACTGTATATTTTTTGCTTTTCTTTCATTTCCTTACCAAGATTTACCATTTGCTCAATAAACCATTGTTAGAGTTTAATGAGAAAAACTGATTCTTTTATTTCCTTTGGAAAACCCCGACCTAGCATTCCAACTAACTGCGTACAGCTCAGGTAACAAGAAACCGCACTGGAAGAGGCAATCTAATCAGATTACTAAAAAGTATCCTAGATTTTCAGTGGGACTTCAAACAACGCTCTTGGTGACACGCTACCGCAGTACAAAAAGGCCTTTACCAGTGCTAAAACAAGTCTCCCTTGCCCAACTGTCACAATCAGCTGGCGGTGGTAACAAGATTTTAAGTTCTAGCCTCTGATAACTGCCTTTGTATTTTTTCTTTTTTTTAGAACTATTTTTAATGTGCTTATTGTTCTGTTAATTTTTGGATCGTGTTGTAGAGTTGTTGTCATGTTCACTTGTTATAGTTATTACTTAGCAGATTTGATTCTTTTAACAAGCCTCAAGCCTTATAGGCGACTGTTACTATTGTCACAAATCATTTAGTTTACTGATGTTATTATTAAGTAGGTATTTTATCTTAATTTTTTGTCTGACGTGTATATAAGCACTAGGTATATTGTGTAATTACCATAAATACATTTTGATTTTATTGGAATTTCATTTGATTAAGAAAATCGAGAGGATCCACATCATTGAATTCTAATATCAACGTCCTCAAAAATGTTAGATGTGTTTATTTTTCCACGAGAGCACAAGAAACGAAGTACCTACTCAAGAATCGTAAACTCTACAGGATTGCTCAATCCCATAAGACATCATACGTTCACAAAAATATCGAGCATGGAGGAATGCGAGTGACGTCACGAAGTCCTTGATCAAATTGTTTTTTATTATGAGTGCATTTTCCTTACATTTTCAAACGTGAAAAGTTGTTATTTCCTTTTACATAAGTGTTTTTTAAATTTAGCGGACTTCACAAGTTTGTGTGCTTGAGTGGTTGACTAATTACATAGACGAGTTTGTTTGCTTGCTGGTTATCAGCAAGGTAATTTCAAAATACACGCATAAATATTATATTAAAATATGCATAGGTATAATAGGTACACATAGGTTACCTTCTTTTAGTACAACAAGTAGTAGGTACCTACTACTTGTGTGAGTGTGTGCTGTGTTATGGGTGTAATAACAACTATTTTGATCAAAAAGCGGGCACTCAAAAATGCAAAGTGAGCGCATATCTCACAAAGCCAAATATAGTGATGCCTAATTTAGATTTTCATAATCATAATTAATCAAGAAAAACAATGCAAGTTTCCTATATTTTCCATGCGTTTACATAGTAAACGCGCCAACTGATGCAACAAATCCAAATCCAGTATTACAAAACCAGAAAATGTTCAGGGTTTCCGCGATTATTTTTAGCCATGAGTCTTTCATGCTTACACACATTAAATGAAACTTTAAATTACACTTATAACACTTGATAAACTTCGAAGCGTCAGCACAAATAATTGGCACAAACTGGACAATCATCCGTATCGGCGGCCATTTTGAAAGTCAGGAATGCAGGTGACGTCACAGCACTAGTGGACAGATAAAAGCCGATTGAACAATCCTGTAGAGTTTACGATTTTTGGTACCTACCAGTACAAAGTATCAAAAAATGAATGGATAGAAGTGAATATCACAGATATTATTGATGACATCCAAAGGTCATAGCAGCAGTTCACGAAATATATAAGTGGACTAGAGTATAATCATGCTTTTCTACCTCGAATCAAGATTAAAATTGAAAAATTGACTGCCATTTTGAAAAAATGGCGGCGAGAAAAGTCGATGGGTCCTCGATTAAAATGGCCTACTTAGCAACTGTATCAAATTTTATGCTTGTATCATCAAATGGCGTTTTTTCGCTAAGCAACCGTACTACTAGTCTTTTGCTTTTGCTTAAAATGCCTACCGATAGTCGATAGTAAGTACCATCGTCACCAAAAGTATCTGGGACACAAATAATGCATAATAATCTCCTGGACTAATTCTACTGTCATTCATTTCAATGCACAGTTTGACAAATATTTGACAATCAAATTCATATAATAGGACAAGAGCTAATGTGATGCTGTCCCAGTTACTTTCGGTGACGATGCTACTTCGACCGTATGGATATGACTCTAGAGTAAATAGAGTAGCTACGTTCGGCCATTCGGAGTCGAGTTAATGAAGCTCACTCCAAAAGCTCGTTCTCTTCTATTCTTACTTCATTTATCTTATGACTATGAGATCTTTTTTGAGTTTAGAAATAAATCACGAACTTTGCTGGGATAGTAAATTGGAATTTTTTTCTTCTCCCTAGTTCGGGCCAATTCAATTCGGTAAATTTTAACGCTCCGTTCACTCTAGAACGCGTAGCAAAAACCTACTCTGACTCCAGTCAATTCAACATAACCTCACTTTTTATTCATATTTATAATTTATATAAACAAATCCGGCGGCATTACTAAAATGGTAAAAATTACTAGAAATAACAAAATTATCCATTAATTAATTAATAATTTAATATAATTTTTAGTTATTCTACTCATTCTTCAAATCCCTCGTGGGCAAAGACGTCGTCGTGGAGCTCAAAAACGATTTAAGGTTTGGTTTTTCCCATTATTTAAATACTTGCAATTCCTTAAGATATTCTCATATTTTGTAGCATTTGCGGCACTCTTCATTCGGTAGACCAGTACCTGAACATCAAACTGACCGATATAAGCGTAACTGATACTGATAAATACCCACACATGGTAAGAATCAACCAAATAACTATTGTAATCAGAGCTGTCAGAAAAAAGTATCTTAGTTACTTTGTAGTGTCTAAGATACTGTATCTTAAATACTTTTTATTTTTTGGCAAAAGTATCTAGTATCTTAGTTACTCTTCAGAAGGATCTATAACTTGTATCTTAAAAAAGTATCTTAGATACCAAAAAGTATCTCAGATACTTAGAAATAGGTATCTCAGAGACTGAAAAGTCTAATCTAAGTTAACAAGAAGTATTAGTTACACTGAAAAAAGTTTGTTGAGACGTTTACCCAAACCCGACCCAAAAAGATTAAACTGGTTCAAACTTCAAACAGCATCAAGCTAACGTTTTATGTATTATTCATTTGTACTCACCCAGCCGCTCTGTGAAGTAGTGTACACTCATTTAACAAAAGAGTTGATTGACGATTTTGTACCTCAATAGTTCACATCGCAAATTATCCATTATATTCTATAAAAATGTAACTATGATTTGTGATTGTAGAAACTGTGATAACTTTCTATGTCCTGCGATTTTGAACCTTATTCTCGAATTTGGTATTTTTAAACCATAAAAATTCTTGTTTTTAAAATTGAATCCGAAACCTGTGGACCAAATAAATTGAACAGCAAAAGCTTTGGAACTAATAATAATGTATCTTATTAAGTATCTTAAAAAGTAACTTAACATACATATTAAGCTAGGTACGCATATGAGCATGAACGCGAATGAGGCAGCCTGAGGACGTATGAGCATACATATGTGTACGTCTGAACGAGGCGTGCAAATTTGTTTGAACCCACATGCATTTGACCTCGACCCGATCCAACTGTTGGCGGTACATCAAAGTGAGGCATCTGCTCGTGCTCTACTCATGTGTGCTCAGTGTGGATGGAAATTTAAAAAAATTCATTTCAAGGTCGAGGCAGTTCACGTCTTGTTTTGAGATGAAAGCGATTAAAAATTCAAATTAATAACAACAAGAATGCTCACTACATATTTATGGATCGATTCCGTGCAACGCCTCGTGCGTCCACTATCCAGGTCACCCAAAAATTTAATTCTTTCCGAATCCGAGGCAAATGGTTCGGCCTTGGATTGCCTCATTATGCGTATCCAGTTTTTAAGATCCTTTTTTAAATAAGTAACTAAATACCCAAAGTAACTTCAGATACTTTTTCCAAAAGTAACTTATCTTGTAACTAGACACTTTTCAAAAGTATCTGTGACAGCTCTGATTGTAATACATATATTTTTAATTTTTTTGTAGCTCTCAGTTAAAAATTGCTTCATCAGAGGCTCAGTTGTCCGGTACGTACAACTGCCTGCCGACGAAGTCGATACACAGCTGTTGCAGGATGCTGCTAGAAAAGAAGCATCTGCACCTACCAGATAAATAACTTAAATTATTCCATAGATTATAAGATAACACTGAATTACTTTGATGAATGATAATTGAGTGAATAAATCGCTTCTTCTTTTTCTAATATTTGTTTGTTATTTTCCTTAAAAAATTGGGTTAATCTTCTATATCTTAAAAATTAAGGGACTAATCTTGTCTCTTGACTTGGGTGTTGTTGTTTAACATTGACAAAGAACTGACTACCTAAGCTTCAATATTTTGATATAAAAAGAAAACTCCATTTTAAGTCATATACAAAAACATTTATTATAAAAATAAGTCAAGAAAATCCTTAACGTTTACACATCAATCCACGTTTGGGTAATTCGTCGGGGGTACGGTCAGCAAAACTGTTCAGAGCTTTGCTGTACGATTCTTGACCAGCCTTGAACTTGGCGTTGTGCTCTTGGACCTCCTTAAGGGTATCTTGGAATATCTGGAACCTTTTGGCCTCTTCTTCGGGTGTTTCAAAGTTTCTCGAGTGTTTTTCCTAAGGGAAAATGTAATTTATTTGAATCACAAAGACATGCAAACTTATTTTATATTTCATTTTCTTAAATAATCGAAATTTTCAAGTCTAAAATCAATTAAATCAGACTCACCTTGAAGTTGTTCCATCTTTCGTTGATGTCAACAGAGTCGAGAGCTAATTCTGCGTCGGTTAAAGACATGGTTACTTAGTTTTGAATTTAATGACAATATTTCCACAATGTATTTATACTTGTACCAAAGTAAAAGTTAGATAAGATAATCAAGTTTCAAGTGGAAACCAAACCACTCATAGGAAGTACCTATGTCTAATCGCGGTGATGGAATTGCTATTTTTATTTTTGTTTCATACTGAAGTGAATCATCTTTTGTCGTGTCACCTTGTACATTATCTATATTTGAAATCTAAATATTTGCTAAACCCTTGTAGGTAGATTGGTCATCATGAGGAAAATTTTGGGTTTTAAGAAAGACTTGCTAAGTGCAAAATGTCAATATATCTTTATTGTATTTGAAGTCTAGTGACTGAGCTGCCTGCACGATTCTTGTACATTAGTGTCGCGGTCTCAGGCACAAAAAGGGATGTCAGTGTTAAAATTCTTAGTGAAAAGAAATATGGCCTGTACCGCCTTTTTCTACAAGACAAATAGCACATTCAGGAGGTACTTGCTACTAATAAGGCCCCAAAATGGAATTCTATATCGGAGGTGCGACTCAAATAACACAAAGTAGACCGCCATTTCAGGTCCCAATTCGCCTGTGGCAGCCCTCACTGCAAAACAGCCCGATGAAAGTTTTTTGCTCAACCTCAAGATGTAATCTTCGAAAAGAAGGTCCCCATTTACCCAAACGCCCAGAAACTTAGCAGTCGTACTCACCCCGACCAGGGAACTGCCCAATATAAGGCCATCCATGTTGCACCTGAAACCAAGCACAGTGGTCTTGTCAACATTAAAAACAAGTTTGTTAGCGTCACACCAACGCTTTATCAACTGCAAGTCATGGGAAATGGCACTCCCCAGGACATCGACATTAGGACCATGCCAGACTATTGAGGTATCGTCCGCAAAAAAAATAAACTCTCCAGATATCCCAACACGGGCGAAATCGTTAATATATAGAAGGAAAAGAAGCGTCCCCAAAACAGAACCCTACGCCACTCCACATCCAATCAGCATATTTGAAGACTGTACTCCAGAAGCCACAACCGATTGACAATGATCAGCAAGATAGGAACTGGACCAACGCAAAGCCGTCCCTCTTATGCCATAACGTTCGAGCAGTATTCCATGATCCACATAATCAAAAGCCTTGGATAGATCACAAAACACCGTTGCCGTCGCCTGTCTCTGATTCATGTTGAAATAGACTGTATTCAGGAGATTAAAAACAGCGTCATGGGTTCCTATCAAGTCCCGGGAACCAAACTATCTGGAAGAAAAGATTTCACGAGATTTCAAAAAACTGCAAAGCCGAGTCTTCACCAGCTTTTCCATGACTTTAGACAACGTTGACAAGAGAGAGATAGGGCGAAAATTTGATGGTTCATTTGGGTCACCACCCTTATGTAGTAGTAAGACAATTGCAGGCTTTAAACAAGCTGGAAACGCACCAGAAGACCACGAGGTACAACGGCGCCCGCAGAATTTGTCACAGGGGGGGGGGGCAAATCAACTACTCTTGGGGTAATCGTGGAAAGCGCACCGCAGGCGGAAATTTTCCTAAAGAACCCAAAAATTGTGTTCTGAATAGACCATAAACTCACACACATCAATACTTACTGATACAGTGGCTCTTACAATCAACGCTCTTACTGACAAATTGCAACGCCGCCTTGCGGTCGTTCACGACAAATGCAGTTTTCTTTTGAATGTTTGCCAAGGTTGACTTTTGGGAGCTTCTCTAATTTTGAAAAGATCGGTTTGATATTCTACACCTTTCACAACAGTATTTAAGAAAGTATCATTTGTATTGGTGTAGAATAAGATACTTCTAACAATCTTTTATAGACATGAAAAGTTTCAAATTTTTATCATTACCGGATCTTGAGATAAAAATTCAAATGTCTCATAATGCATTTTTCCTCCGAATCTTTGCCAAAGTTGATTTTTAGAATCTTTCCTAATTTTCAAAGGATCGACTTGAGATTTTATTATTAGATACACCAATTCTTCTTCTAAAGAATTAAAAAGTTTCAAAATTTTCATGCTCTTCTGATTTCGAGATATTAATTCAAAAGTAATGCATAAAACAATAAGAATTACACAAGTTATTTTGATATAAAAAAATGTATATTATATCACAGACTTTATCATCACAGGCGAAATTAATGTTTTTCCTCCACGGCAGCCGGGCAAACCTGAAGAAAATTACAATTTAGAAACTAAAATAAGTTTTTCTATTCAACTCGCCCAACTTTTCATAGTTGCAGTTGTTCCAAACTCCTGTTCAAATTGAAAATCTGTATGAAGCTAGGCCTGAGATCTACCATCCATGCGACGTTTCTCAAATCTTTCTTTTTCTTTTTCAGCTCTTCCAAATTCCAAAAGTTTATAGGATGATCTGGAATATTGGAATTTGAGGAAAATGGAATTGGATTGGAATTTAAAAAAAATTACATTCACACAATGTTGAGTATATTGTATTATATATTATTGTTCAATAATGATAATGTTTAAAAATAAAAAGCACTCTATTGTTAATTATAGTAAAAATCAAGTCAAATTTGTGCAGAATTGAAATATTATGGACAAATGCTAAATTGGACTTATTTTTCCCCTTTATTTATAGAGTTTATTTCATATATACCTAAAATTCTAAGTGTTAGTATGTATGTCAGACATCTATATATTTTTGACTAGAGCAATATTTGATATCACTAGAGAGAGAGAGAGAGAGAGGAACAAATAATAATCATGAAAAAACTATTGCCCTGAGTTGAATTGGCTCAAAGTACCGGGTGTCAAATTATAAAGTAGGTACCATCACTTGTCAAAAATAGAAAAGTTACAGGTGGTGGTACTTTATAACTTGACACCCTGTATTTACTATAAAAAGTGAAATCGATTTTTACAAAACAAGTGTCACTTCTTATAGAACTAATATTTGTTCCTAATCAATTTTTTTTTGTTTAGATTATAGGTTCGTCGACATTACGATCCTCAATATTCATATACATGCCTTCTTCCTCGTAAGTGGAATCGTGCTTGGCCAAAACACGCAGTAAAGGTCTGAGGCTCAGCCACCATTGATCTTTGGGTATTCTTTGCCTGGTAAAAAAAAATTGTTCAGTAAAAATATCAATAGAGTAAGTGCTTTGGGTACTTACCTTGAAAAAATATATGTAGGTGCAAAAAAGCGCTAAGCAACAAAAAATTGGGTGTGCACAAAAAATAAAATAAAATAGGGCAATGGCGATTATAGGTCTGTTTTCACAAGAGTTAGCAAACTGTCAGAAAGCATCACCCATACATATTTTCCAAGATAAATCGGTAACTTAGCTGAACTATTGTTTGAGACTTTTATGAAAACAGACCTTAGATAAATTAAAAACTACAATAAATAGAATTCAATAGGTTTACTACAATTAATTAATACAGCATTACTCGAGCTCAAAAAACAAGCTCGAGTGAAATAAATATAAATTCAAACTTAACACTAATCTAATATAATAAATAACAGATCAAAAATAATGCGTTGGAGAGTATTCTTGTAAAAAGCTGTCATATAAATTCAGATTCACTGTCAATTGGTTTAAAAAAGACTCTATAATTAATAAATCTTTAAAAAGGTGATTCAATAGGAATTTAACAAGTTTTTTCTTGCATTTTCAATATGAGCCTTATACTTATAATTTGTTTTGTTTGATAAAAAAAAATAATTAATTAACAAATTCTGAAAGTTTTGAAGCTGGTCTGATTGTTTCAAGTATTTTTCACAAGCTTTTAAAAGAGATCTAAGATCTGTCTCAATATGGGAAAAAAATTCATAGTTGTATTTCTGAGCCTCAAACCTCAACTCAATTGTTTTGGTTAATAAAAAGTCTAAAGTTATTAAAGTTTGGAAGTTTGAAGTCACCCTGAGGATTTGAAACATTTTTCACAAGATCTTTTAAAGGCAATCTTACAAGAATTTTTCTTTGTTTGTTTGCCAAAGTCAATTTTTTGGGATTTTTCCTAATTTTCAAGGGATTGGTTTGATATTTTAGTATGAGAAGCTTTAAACCTTTTTTTATAGACTCGAAAAGTTTCAAATTTCTATCATTATCGGATCTTGAGATAAAATTTCAAATGTCTCATAATGCATTGGATATTTGTCAAAGTTGATTTTTGGGATTTTTGTTTAATTTTCAAAGGATTGGCTTCAGATTTTAGTATGAGATGCTCCAATCCCTTTTTCTATAGACTTGAAAAGTTTCAAATTTCTATCATTATCGGATCTTGAGATAAAATTTCAAATGTCTCATAATGCATTGGATATTTGTCAAAGTTGATTTTTGGGATTTTTGTTTAATTTTCAACAGATTGGCTTCAGATTTTAGTATGAGATGCTCCAATCCCTTTTTCTATAGACTTGAAAAGTTTCAAATTTCTATCATTATCGGATCTTGAGATAAAATTTCAAATGTCTCATAATGCATTGGATATTTGTCAAAGTTGATTTTTGGGATTTTTGTTTAATTTTCAAAGGATTGGCTTCAGATTTTAGTATGAGATGCTCCAATCCCTTTTTCTATAGACTTGAAAAGTTTCAAATTTCTATCATTATCGGATCTTGAGATAAAATTTCAAATGTCTCATAATGCATTGGATATTTGTCAAAGTTGATTTTTGGGATTTTTGTTTAATTTTCAACAGATTGGCTTCAGATTTTAGTATGAGATGCTCCAATCCCTTTTTCTATAGACTTGAAAAGTTTCAAATTTCTATCATTATCGGATCTTGAGATAAAATTTCAAATGTCTCATAATGCATTGGATATTTGTCAAAGTTGATTTTTGGGATTTTTGTTTAATTTTGAAAGGATTGGCTTCAGATTTTAGTATGAGATGCTACAATCCCTTTTTCTATAGACTTGAAAAGTTTCAAATTTCTATCATTATCAGATCTTGAGATAAAATTTCAAATGTCTCATAATGCATTGGATATTTGTCAAAGTTGATTTTTGTTTAATTTTCAAAGGATTGGCTTCAGATTTTAGTATGAGATGCTCCAATCCCTTTTTCTATAGACTTGAAAAGTTTCAAATTTCTATCATTATCGGATCTTGAGATAAAATTTCAAATGTCTCATAATGCATTGGATATTTGTCAAAGTTGATTTTTGGGATTTTTGTTTAATTTTCAAAGGATTGGCTTCAGATTTTAGTATGAGATGCTCCAATCCCTTTTTCTATAGACTTGAAAAGTTTCAAATTTCTATCATTATCGGATCTTGAGATAAAATTTCAAATGTCTCATAATGCATTGGATATTTGTCAAAGTTGATTTTTGGGATTTTTGTTTAATTTTCAACAGATTGGCTTCAGATTTTAGTATGAGATGCTCCAATCCCTTTTTCTATAGACTTGAAAAGTTTCAAATTTCTATCATTATCGGATCTTGAGATAAAATTTCAAATGTCTCATAATGCATTGGATATTTGTCAAAGTTGATTTTTGGGATTTTTGTTTAATTTTCAAAGGATTGGCTTCAGATTTTAGTATGAGATGCTCCAATCCCTTTTTCTATAGACTTGAAAAGTTTCAAATTTCTATCATTATCGGATCTTGAGATAAAATTTCAAATGTCTCATAATGCATTGGATATTTGTCAAAGTTGATTTTTGGGATTTTTGTTTAATTTTCAACAGATTGGCTTCAGATTTTAGTATGAGATGCTCCAATCCCTTTTTCTATAGACTTGAAAAGTTTCAAATTTCTATCATTATCGGATCTTGAGATAAAATTTCAAATGTCTCATAATGCATTGGATATTTGTCAAAGTTGATTTTTGGGATTTTTGTTTAATTTTGAAAGGATTGGCTTCAGATTTTAGTATGAGATGCTACAATCCCTTTTTCTATAGACTTGAAAAGTTTCAAATTTCTATCATTATCAGATCTTGAGATAAAATTTCAAATGTCTCATAATGCATTGGATATTTGTCAAAGTTGATTTTTGTTTAATTTTCAAAGGATTGGCTTCAGATTTTAGTATGAGATGCTCCAATCCCTTTTTCTATAGACTTGAAAAGTTTCAAATTTCTATCATTATCGGATCTTGAGATAAAATTTCAAATGTCTCATAATGCATTGGATATTTGTCAAAGTTGATTTTTGGGATTTTTGTTTAATTTTCAAAGGATTGGCTTCAGATTTTAGTAAGAGATGCTACAATCCCTTTTTCTATAGACTTGAAAAGTTTCAAATTTCTATCATTATCGGATCTTGAGATAAAATTTCAAATGTCTCATAATGCATTGGATATTTGTCAAAGTTGATTTTAGGGATTTTTGTTTAATTTTCAAAGGATTGGCTTCAGATTTTAGTATGAGATGCTCCAATCCCTTTTTCTATAGACTTGAAAAGTTTCAAATTTCTATCATTATCAGATCTTGAGATAAAATTTCAAATGTCTCATAATGCATTGGATATTTGTCAAAGTTGATTTTTGTTTAATTTTCAAAGGATTGGCTTCAGATTTTAGTATGAGATGCTCCAATCCCTTTTTCTATAGACTTGAAAAGTTTCAAATTTCTATCATTATCAGATCTTGAGATAAAATTTCAAATGTCTCATAATGCATTGGATATTTGTCAAAGTTGATTTTTGTTTAATTTTCAAAGGATTGGCTTCAGATTTTAGTATGAGATGCTCCAATCCCTTTTTTTTTATAGACTTGAAAAGTTTCAAATTTCTATCATTATCGGATCTTGAGATAAAATTTCAAATGTCTCATAATGCATTGGATATTTGTCAAAGTTGATTTTTGTTTAATTTTCAAAGGATTGGCTTCAGATTTTAGTATGAGATGCTCCAATCCCTTTTTCTATAGACTTGAAAAGTTTCAAATTTCTATCATTATCGGATCTTGAGATAAAATTTCAAATGTCTCATAATGCATTGGATATTTGTCAAAGTTGATTTTTGGGATTTTTGTTTAATTTTCAAAGGATTGGCTTCAGATTTTAGTAAGAGATGCTACAATCCCTTTTTCTATAGACTTGAAAAGTTTCAAATTTCTATCATTATCGGATCTTGAGATAAAATTTCAAATGTCTCATAATGCATTGGATATTTGTCAAAGTTGATTTTAGGGATTTTTGTTTAATTTTCAAAGGATTGGCTTCAGATTTTAGTATGAGATGCTCCAATCCCTTTTTCTATAGACTTGAAAAGTTTCAAATTTCTATCATTATCAGATCTTGAGATAAAATTTCAAATGTCTCATAATGCATTGGATATTTGTCAAAGTTGATTTTTGTTTAATTTTCAAAGGATTGGCTTCAGATTTTAGTATGAGATGCTCCAATCCCTTTTTCTATAGACTTGAAAAGTTTCAAATTTCTATCATTATCAGATCTTGAGATAAAATTTCAAATGTCTCATAATGCATTGGATATTTGTCAAAGTTGATTTTTGTTTAATTTTCAAAGGATTGGCTTCAGATTTTAGTATGAGATGCTCCAATCCCTTTTTTTTTATAGACTTGAAAAGTTTCAAATTTCTATCATTATCGGATCTTGAGATAAAATTTCAAATGTCTCATAATGCATTGGATATTTGTCAAAGTTGATTTTAGGGATTTTTGTTTAATTTTCAAAGGATTGGCTTCAGATTTTAGTATGAGATGCTCCAATCCCTTTTTTTTATAGACTTGAAAAGTTTCAAATTTCTATCATTATCGGATCTTGAGATAAAATTTCAAATGTCTCATAATGCATTGGATATTTGTCAAAGTTGATTTTAGGGATTTTTGTTTAATTTTCAAAGGATTGGCTTCAGATTTTAGTATGAGATGCTCCAAACCCTTTTTCTATAGACTTGAAAAGTTTCAAATTTCTGTCATTATCTGATCTTGACATAAAATTTCAAATGTCTCATAATGCATTTATTCTTTGGATATTTGTCAAAGTTGATTTTTGGGATTTTTGTTTAATTTTCAACGGATTGGCTTCAGATTTTAGTATGAGATACTCCAATCCCTTTTTCTATAGACTTGAAAAGTTTCAAATTTCTATCATTATCGGATCTTGAGATAAAAGTTCAAATGTCTCATAATGCATTTATTCTTTGGATATTTGTCAAAGTTGATTTTTGGGATTTTTGTTTAATTTTCAACGGATTGGCTTCAGATTTTAGTATGAGATGCTCCAAACCTTTTTCTATAGACTTGAAAAGTTTCGAATTTTTATCATTATCGGATCTTGAGTTAGAAAATCAAATGTCTCATTGTTGTGAAACTTTGGCAAATAGGCACAAGGTATAAGGTGCAAGCTGTTAGGTATAGAAAAAACCGGTGAACAGGCATGCGAGCTAAATGAAATATCTAAGCATATAACTTCATTAAAGAGTTTAAACCAACCTTGTGATACACTCTTAATTTTTATCTTGAGTGCAATTTTGGATAAAACTACTTCTCATGAGTGGGAGGGAAAGAGAGCGAATTACAATGTTAACACTATTTTCAGAGTTTGTGACCTTTTTGAAGACTGGAGCTGATTTTTTGGAAAATCTAGAGCTATCAACAGATAAAGTACAAAAACCATCAGAAGATACAACTAAATGTGTTTGTTCTACACAAGCAATTACTTGTGTTATGTGTACCGGTGCTAATTTTGTACAGAAGTGTTCAGATTTTTTATCGATTAATGGAAGAGTTTACAGGGTGAAACGGTGGAGATTGTGTTTTCAACTGTTTGAGAATTGGTCATGCTTATGGGGCATGTATAGTATTTACAAAGTCAGCTGAAACAAGGTAAAGGTAAATCACAACTGGTGACTGAATATTTTCATAAGAAATGCACTACCACTAATCGGCCACCAGTTGCTAATTACCTTTACCTTGTTTCAACTGACTTTGTAAATATACTCCTGGACAAAATTATGGCACCACTGCTTATGGTGATGCTTATGTGCAGTGGTGCGATAATTTTGTCCTGGAGTATATTATACCTCCCATACATGCCAAAGGTGCAAGTTGCAGCATAATACCTTGCTGCATTTTCAGCGTAGAGAACAAAATCAAAATAAAGCCAGCCATGAGTTAAACCAAAGAGAGAAATCAAGGTGTGGATGACAAGCAAACAAAGTAATGATATTCCTCTAGTTTAATTATTACAAACTGCTTTAATATTTGTTTTGAACTCCAAGGGTGTTCCTCAGATATGTAGGGTTTTTTTGGATGGTGCAAGTCAGAGTAATTTCATAATATATATGTGACAGGTGTTAGACAAACAATAACACATTTAAGTTATAAGTGTCAAGTGCAAATTCGGCGCATGAGAGACAAAAGCCCCTCTCATTGTACACCGTTGATGAGGTAGCTAGAGTAGTTGAAGATATTTTAAACCATAACAAAACATACCAGGAAGTTGAATAATATTATGGTATTCCAAAATCAGTTGGTGTTTCGCAGAGTAAAGGGAAGAAAGACCGCAACTACTAAAATGGGTTCAGGAAGGACAAAGTCTCTGGGTGCGTGATTTGGAAAATTGTATACGGGCAAAAGCGAGCATAGAGATACCATATCGTAAAAAATATGTCAAAGAAATTGTTGCAGAATATGTCAACCCTCTGAAGACACAGTTTGTTGATAATAGTCCGGAGGATGATTGGTATTATGGCTTCAAGAAACCAGAACATTTGCAAAAATGCAGAATGGATTCCAGAGACCCATTTGTAATATACGAGTTTTACAAAGAAATATTGCAGTTCTATAAAGACAAAAACTTTGAGGATAAACCATCATTTGTGTTCAACTGTAACCAAATGTAAAAGCACTTGGGAAGAGAGGAAAGGCTTTATCCGGGGTATCAGGGGAATCTGGCAGGGAATCAACCACAGACCTTAGAGCTTGCATGTGTGTCTGCAGATGGATGTTACCTCCCACCACTGATTGTGTTGAAAGGGGTTGGTATTTAGGCCAGATGGATATCTAAGAAAGCATTTCCAGGAACAAGGTAAAACCTGCCTTATTTAATGTTATTTTCACTGACCTGTCTTTTTACAAATATACCTGTTCCAGAAATGGATGAATGAATGAACCGCAGTTATTTGAGTGGTTTTCTTCTTGTTTTTTTTTTTCCTTTATGAGTTTTCCACCAGCTACCCAATCAAACCGCTGTCCTATTTTTCGATGGACATACCAAACATATAAGCATTAGAAAATATTCATTTCATATTCAAAGTTTTGGGAAACAAAACTGGTTGAGTTTGTAAAAACAGAAGATTTAACTCAACTAGTCTATTTTCTGCACAGTATCCTGAATCGGAATTCAACCCAATTGCACTTAGAAAATATAAAACAATACACAATAAAGAAACACCACCATACACTTGAAGCAGAGAACAGTTGTTGAGATTCCTGAAAATGAATGGCCAAGTTCGTCTGGAGTTATTATGACAAAGTTGTCAGAGAGTTCCAATAGGCCAGTCGTTGCTAATTCCATCATGAACTTACCTACAACAAGTGATGTCTGTTCCGAAGAAAACCAATCTCATCAAGATTTATCTGAAAACATGTTAGCTGAAACTGATGAAAATAACCAGCCTCAGCCTCAGTTCACATCTGATAACCCGAAATCTACTGGAACAGCCCAAAAGTTGCCACAGCTTCTGGCATATTCCACACCCAAGAAAGATCCACTTTCGTCATTTACTAAATTTAACTCCAAATACAATAATAGATATTTTTGCAAAACGCAGTAGTATTTGCGTCAAACCAGTCAAAACTTGAAAAAGTGCAAAATCGTTATTCCAAGATTAAAACCTTCATCCCAGTGTTGCCAGGCGTACCATAATTATGTATTTGTACCATAATTTTGCAGAAAAATACATAGTAAAATCGCGAATGCAATAATACATAATTTACTATAATTTTGACCTCTTTGTATTTTTCTTAACTTTATAATACTCCTTTTTTTATTTTCTCATGTTTTTGCTGTTTAGAGGTTTGAGAGTTATGCGTGACGTCATAAATCCTATTGATCGGTTGCCAAGCCGCAGTGGCATTGACGTTTTGTTCTATCTCACTCTCACTCACGTCAGCGGACAGTACTTCACAATAAAAGAACTATTTGTTTAGAGGTCTAAGGTTTAGACTTTATTCAAAAAATAATTTGTATGGGATTTTTATGATATATTGAGGATGACGTCACATTTACTAAATTTCTGCTACCAACTGCCAACAACAACTAAAAGCATTTAAAGTAGGGGAATTCCAGATGTTTTTGGTTGGCAACGGCGCCCGACGTTGCATGACTTGTATAAATGTTTTCATTTCGTTTTTTTTAGCTGTCGTCAGAATTATTGACACATGACATTCTAGTAAATTATAAGAAAAAAAATAGGCATTGACAACACTGTCTGTCCTTGTTCGATGACGTCATCTTAAATATAACATAAAAAACCTATACCATAATTTTTTTTCAAATGATTTTGACCTTCATGTACAGGGTTATTGGTCATAAATGTCACCCCCCTCTATCTTTTTTATTCGACATTTTAGAAAAAAGTGTCCCAAATAAAAAGTTTATGGTTGAAATTAAATTTTTTGAAAAACTCACTTTTGCATATACAGGGTGTTTCAAAAAAGCTGGTAGTGCTCCAACTTTCCTATTTTAAATTGAATACCCTGTATAATATTCAATATTCGGATTATACATAAAATTCTGAGCAGATTTCATGTGATATACCCTATACCTAAGTTCAACTGTTTTGGAAATATTGACACTTGAAAATTGACTTTTTTGCAACTTTGACAGGCTGTAAATCCTAAACGGTTAATTTTAGAGCAAAACCGATCTTACATTCTTATCTTATATTTTTATAAACTAGCAGTTGACACCAATATTTGACATCAACTTTGAATTTAATCCATTATGATTGAAAATTCCAATTTAATTTAATCTTCGGTTAAATTCAAAGTTGGTATCAAATGATAGCATGTGAAAATATTAGAAAAAAATGTAAGCCGGTTTTGCTCAAAAGTTAATCGTTTAGGTTCGACAGCCTGTCAAATTTGCAAAAAAGTCAATTTTCAACTGTAAATATTTTCAAAACAGTTGAACTTAGGTATAGGGTATATCACATGAAATCGGCTCAGAATTTTACGTAGAATCCGAATATTGAATAATATACAGGGTATTCAATTTAAAATAAGAAAGTTGGAGCACTACCAGCTTTTTTGAAACACTCTGTATATGCAAAAGTGAGTTTTTCAAAAAATTTAATTTCATCCATAATTTTTTTATTTGGGACACTTTTTTTTAAAATGTCAAATAAAAAAGATAGAGGGGGTGACATTTATAACCAATAACCCTGTACCATAATTTCAAAATAAAAATCTGGCAACACTGCTTCATCCTCCGACCCTACTTCAAAGTGGCAAATTTCAAATCATTTGAATCTTGTCTTGCTGATCCTAGTTTTAAAACTTCTAGTAAAATTGATTCACTCATAGGTGGTTATGCAGGGTGAGTTACTAAGCGCGCGGTGGTCCATATCTCCTATACTAACGGAGATCGGAGAAAAAACTAAATACAAAATTTGTAGATAAACATGAGTACTACATTCCTAAATTATTTTCTAGTATACAGGGTGGTCCAATAACTAGTAGTGATACAAAGTTATGTTTTTTTAAATGACTCTCCCTGTATATTATGATATTTCTGGATTCTGCGGAAAATTATAGACATATTTCATGTACAATGTTATATACTTATCTTCAACTGTTTCGGAAATATTGACAGTTGAAAACTGACTTTTTTGCCTCTTTGAAAGACTGTAAGACCTGAACGGTTAATTTTACAAGAAAACAGCTTTTACATTCCTATCTTAATTTTTCATAAACTATCATTTGGCACCATTCTTGAATTTAATCCATGATCCAATGATCAGTCAATTTTCAACTGTCAATATTTCCGAAACAGTTGAAGATAGGTATATGACAATATACATGAAATATGTCTAGAATTTTTCGCAAAATCCCGAAATGTCATAATATACAGGGAGAGTCATTTAAAAAAAACATAACTTTGTGTTACTACTAGTTATTGGGCCACCCTGTATACTGAAAAATAATTTAGGAATGTAGTACTCATGTTTATCTACTAGCAGAGCTGGGAGTAACGACAAAAAAAATTTACTTTACTTTAACGAGTCACTGAAAGTAACGCGTTACTTGGTAACTTCGTTACTTTTCAGATTGATTGATAAGTAACTGTAACGACGTTACTTTCCTGAAGTAACGCTGGAAGTAACGCGTTACTAGTTACTATGAAACTAACTCGTTCTCTCAATTTGTTTATCTTCTTTACAAATAATTGACGAGTGAAGAAAAGGAAAATAAGTAATCCAGAAACTTTGTATGTCATATAATGAAATGTTGGTAGTACAGAAAATTTGTTTTGAAAGCTCAAAATAATCGTTTTTGGGCGTGCCACGCGCCGCCTCTGCTCTAAAGACACTATATGCAGACACTGGGGATGCTTCAAAGAGCAGGTTTGTCCAAAACCAAGTGCTCTATTCAGTCGCTTAATCCTTAATCCGTTTGAATTTTGCAAGAATCACAAACTAAAAAAATATTGGCTTTTCGTATAGGTCTTATTTGATTGTTTGGACTGGTGTGTTGGTGAGACAAATTAAGGAATAACGCAATTTTCGACGTAAATAGTTATTTTTGAAGTAACGCGTCACTTTAAAAGTAACGAACTACTTTTAAAGTGAAGAAGTTACAGTAACGCGTTACTTTCCAATAAGTAACGAAAATAAAGTTATCATTATTCGAAAGTAACTGTAAATTTTAAGTAACGAGTTATTTTTAAGCAAAAGTAACTGTAAAGTAACGCGTTACTTTTTTCAAGTAACGATCCCAGCTCTGTCTACAAGTTTTGTATTTAGTTTTTTCTCCGATCTCCGTTAGTATAGGAGATATGGACCACCGCGCGCTTAGTAACTCACCCTGTATATTTATCCCAATTTAGTATGCATTGGTCAAAAAAGGTTGGGCCAGAGAATGCCCACATTACAGAAAACACAGTTTGGCTGGGTTATTGGTGGTGAATACAAATACAATACAAATGTGTGTGCAGTGTAATTTTACTAGCAATATAGATATTCAAGAGCAGTTTATGAGATTTTGGGAAATAGAGGAGAATGTAAGTAATCAGATGGTTTTTATGGAAGAACAGCAGTGTGAGGCTATTTTCTTAAAAACTACTCATCAAGATGCTCAAGGTCGCTTGTGATTCAAATGCCTTTAAATCTCTCTCCTTCTTCTCTAGGAGATACAAAACAGAGGGCAATAAGAAGGTTGGAATCTAGACTCTTGAAAAATCCAGTGTTAAGGGAGAAATATGTATCTTTCATAGATAAGTACCAAGCATTATCACAGATGGTGGAGGTGAGTGCTGAGAATGCAGAAGCAATTCCTTCATTTAACTTTTTTCACCATTGTGTCTTAAATGATAACAGTCCCACTATCAAATTGCGTGTAGTTTTTGATGGGTCAGCTATTTCAGATAACGGTGTGTCTTTAAATAGTATTCAGTTTGTTGGCCCGCGACTACAAGACAGGTTATCACAAATAGTCTCGAGGTTCAGACATAATGTGGTGATTTGTGACGACAACAATACTTATACATCCCAGTCAGTGGCCTTCACAAAGAATTGTGTGGAGGTGTGATCCATCACAAGACCTAAAAACATTGAAATCAGGGTGCTTTGAATTTCAAAAGTGGGCTTCTAATAGTAAAAGGGTTTTAGACCATCTGAGACCAAAATATTTGGGAAGTTCTTGTGTGTCTCATTGGGAAAAATGAAAAAATTAAAACTTTAGGAGTTTATTGGTCATGCGATCAAGACTTATTGATGTATAATATACAAGTACAGTCAAAGGAAAAGGTTACTAAAAAAACTGTTCTTTCCAATATTGCCCAAGTATTTGATGCGTTAGGCCTATTTGGACCTGTTGTTATTTTGGTAAAAATTTTTTCCAGGGGCTTTGGTAGCTTAAACTGTCTTAGGATGAATCTCTTCCTTCCGATCTCGACACCATGTGGTTTAGTTTCAAGAAAAATCTTCCAAAATTAAATGAGTTGAAAATACCGAAACAGATCATACATAATAATCCAGTGATGAAATAGAAATATATGGGTTTTGTGATGCTTACTTGGAGGCTTATGGAGCATGCGTCTATATTTATACGAAGTGTCAAAATATTCAGATAAATCTTTTGTGCGCTAAATCAAAGGTGGCTGAAGGTTTTGACAATACCAAGATTAGACTTATGCGCCTCTTTGATTTTAGCAAACCTAGTGCATAGGGGCAGAAAGCCTATTGTGTCCTAACTTCAGTTCATGCTTTTTATGGAAAGATTCCACTATAAGTCTGCTGGATTTGAAATTCAGTCTTTGACTTTTGTCGAGCAGTGAAATCATGTGACTACAGATAACAATTCTGCAGATGTATTATCTCCTAGTGTGAGTCCAGAAAAATTGAGAAGTTGTGACATTTGGTGGAAGGGTCCGCAGTGGCTCTCTCTCAGGAAATGTGGCCTAAATTCAAGGGTCCAGAGAAGATACCTGAGGTTAAAAATCATGCAAGTATTTTCAAAATAAAAAGGTTAGAGCTACTTTCCTTCAATACATTTTCTTCTTTGACTAGGTTGATTCCTATGTGTGCTTATTGCTTGAGATTTAGAAAAAAATGTAAGTGTAGGAAATTTAGTGTTTTAGGGAATTCCAATATTCTGAAAACGTCAGAGTTAAATGAGTCGCTGCTCTTTTTAGTAAAATTATCCCAACAGGAGACATTATTTATTGAAATTGAAGGGTGAATGTGTAAATAAGGGGAGTAAGTTGATAAGGCTTAATCCCTTCTCAGATGAAAAGGACATTGTAAGAGTGGGTGGTAGAAGAGAACTTTCCAATTTTGATTACAACAAAAAACATCCTGCTGTATCATTTTACTAACCTAGTGTTTAGAAATGAAAATTAAAAATTACATTATGCTAGAGCACAACATGTTCTTCACTCTGTGCGTGATAGGTTATGGCCAATAGGTGGGGGTGTTCTGTCCAGAAAAAATGTTTTTGAGTGTGTTCGATGTTTTTTTAAAGCTAAACCTACTACCAAACATCCAATCATGGGGATGTTACCTATAGATCGGTTAGAATCTGTCGCACCTTTTTCTTCTTATGGTATAGATTATGCTGGACCTATGTTAATTGAAAACAGAAGGGGTAGAGGTAATATTGAAGTACTATATTGCACTTCTTGTCTGTTTTGTAACAACTGCAATACACATGGAATCAGTAACAGAGTTAACAAAAGACAAGGTTCTTAAAGTTAATAGGTTGCCTGGTAATGGGTAACTTGATGACACATCTGGGGACTCTGGGGTGCCTTATGGAGATATGCATTGGGTTAAGGCATACAGATGACGTCATAAAAGTTATCAGGCAACCTTAACTAATAAGGTGTTTTCAGATAATGGGACTAATCTCGTGGTGGCAGAATATGAATTGACGTTACGTGGTGAGTTTTGGCAACAAAATTCTACAAATATCATTGAGACTCTTGGCAATCAGGGTATCGAGTGGCATCTAATACCAGCCTTTCACCTCATTTTGGTGGTATCTGGGAAGCCTGTTTGAAATCCTGCAAAACACATGAGTTTTGGCAAATGCATGTTTGATATACAAAGATTTCTGTACTGAATTAGATCGAAGCCATATTAAATTCCTGTCCCTTGATTTCCATATCAAGCAATCCCAGTAACTATTCTGTCTTAACCCCAGCTCACTTTCTGATCGGAAGGATAATGACATCTTTACTAGATCCTGATGTAAGGCCTATTTAACCGAAACAAAACTATCACTCTATCAAAAATTTCAAAAGTTGCCGCAACATTTCTGGTCCAAGTGGGCAATTGAGTATGTGAAGTGGCATACTTCCAAGGAAAAGTTGGAAGTAGGTATATTAGTAGTGGTAAAAGAAGACAATGTGCCTCCTCTACAGTGGAGAATGGGACATATAGAAGTGGTACACCCAGATCCGGAGAGTGGTTACTATTAATACTGTAGATGGGTGCATCAAAAGATCTTTTGCTAAAATCTGTATTCTACCAATTGATATACCCGCAAGTGTTCCAGATTCACAAATGGCTTAAATTGATCATTTATGCCACTGTTATTTATTATAAGTTTTTCTTTGTGTTTCAATCCCAATGGTTTCAACGTGGGGGGCATGTTGTGAAACCTTGGCAAATAGGTACTAGGTATAAGGTGCATGCTGTTTTAAAAGCCAGCTCCCAAGAATTTCTTGTACTGATGAGAGAAAAGTTTATTATTTTAGTTCTGAGCCTCAGACTAAATTCAATATAAATTGAGCTAGATAAGAATGTATAGAGCAATTTTTTGAAAGAATATTGAACAGAGTAGATCGAGTTTGATATTAATAATAGGGTATTTCAGTTCTAAGTTTCCTGAATTCTTTCAATTCAAAGAAAAACAGTCTAGGACAGTTACTGTACAATCAGCTACATAAATCCCTTGAATCAATACACAATTTGGTATTATTGTAGATCTTCAAAACTTTCAGAATTTAGATAATAATAGGTCTTTTCCAACATGACAAAAACCGTCCTATGCATGGTTCTGTAACCACTCTGTATACGAATTCTACGCACAAATTTTAGGCTTAGCGCAGAATCGTGGCAGTACATTGTACGGTTTCCTAATGTGTTGGAACAAAGCTAATGTAAATTCTATAAATTGTCTACTAGTTTAAATAAATAAATAAATAATACAGGAATTAAATGGTAACATCGACCAGACGATCCTCGATGGACATGTACATGCCTTCTTCTTCGTAAGTGGAATCGTGCTTGGCCAAAATACGTAGCAGAGGCCGGAGTTTGAGCCACCATTGATCTTTGGGTATACGTTGACTGCAAACACACATTTTTTTTTTCTTTTTTTTTGTGACATTGAACACGAACACAAAGCTGATATTTTGTTGCTGGACAAATACATCAATAGGTACAAAAAAAAGCTAAGAAGCAACATAAAAACTTGAAAAGTATAGTTATAATTATTTAGGAATGAAACTTGCAGAAGCACAAATACAACAAACTAAAATAGGTTTAAATTTTCACTTACTCAAAGTTGGTTTGTCCCTTCAAATCCAGCAAACTGGTGCACTTGTACTGACGTTTGACGATGCCCAATAGGCAAGCGGTATTGGGATCGGTGCAGGAAATTTTCCCGTTCGCGTCGGTGTTGTTTTTCAATTGGCAGACTATCCAGTCGACGGCTCTGGCTGCCATTTTCGTGCCCAAGTTACGGTCGAACGGTGTTGGCGAACCTCCTTGTTGCATGTGACCTGAAAGTAAAGGTAAAGTAAAACAAATTACTCTCACATAAGTATTTGCACTTTTGACAGGTTTTTCATATTATGGATATTTATTTTGATGAGTACAGGGTATTCCTGTATGTAAACATTCTTACCTAAAACGTTCATCCTGGCACTGAACAATCCTTTGCCCTCCTCAGAATACAATCGATAGATAAACTCAGTGTTGTAGTTGTAGGAGGCGTTTTCGTTTCTCAAAATGAGCCCGCGTTGCACCCCCTCAGACATTTTGGTCGCCATATGATAGACATCTTGCTGTAGGTCTTTAATGGTGAACTTTTCTTCGTAGATGTAGGCGGCATCTGCCCCACCCGCTAATCCTGCCACTGTAGCCAAGTAACTAATTGAAAAAAAAAATATTTCTAGATAACGTCCTTAGTGTTTAAAATAATGGGTTAAGGACTTTTGTAGTCGGCATAATTTTTTGGAAAAGGGCGTTCCATTTCTAAACTCCTAAACCCATTATATAATTAGGAAGAATATAACAGAAAAGTTGCAGGTCAAATTGAAAACAATCATTACCCGCAAAAACCTCCCATAGTTTCAATAACGAAAACACGTCTCTTGGTGCCTTGAGCCGACTGTCTGATGCGATCGCAAATTTCAGTAATTTCATTGAGAGCAGTGTCGCACCCTAAAGAAAACTCGGTTCCGGGCACGTTGTTGGAAATTGTACTGGGAATCACCATGATGGGGATGCGGAAGGCTTTGTGTTCGTCGCGGTTTTCGCTCAATTGAATCGCAGCTTGGAATCCCTAAAAGACAGATTTTGAGAAATTCAACTTTTCCAATCAGTGGTTCATTTACCTCAAAGCCGCCAATAATCAATAGAGCTTGGATTTTGAACTCCTCAAGTCTGGCTGCGACCAATCCCATACGGTTACCAGGAAGGGTACGTTTGGTGCCCAAATAAGCACCGCCTTGACTTACCCAGCCGGTTACATCAGACCAATCTGAAATAAAAGAAAAGTCAGTGTTGCCAATTCCCTACATGCATTCTAGTAACTCCATCATATGGTATATTTGTGGGATTTTTGAGCTTAGAAAATGATTCTTTTTAAAACTTTAACACCCTGTATAACCGTTAGTGCAGTTAACAATGTCACTTTGAAGATCCATTTGGCAAAAGATGTTGTGATTAATGGTCCACCAGTGAAAAAAAAGTTGTTTGTGGAATAATTGATGATTTGTTGGAAAATCACATTGTACAACCTAGTGAATCCCCATTTGCCAGTCCCATCCTATTGGTGAGAAAAAAAAATGTAGTGTAGACTTCCGAGAACTCAGTTAAGGACAGATATCCTTTGCTACTTATTGAGGACCAATTGTTAGGACAGGGTCGGTATTTCATATCGTTAGATATGGCTTCGGGGTTCCACCAGATACCAATCCATCAAGAATCGATCCAGAAAACAACTTTCATCACTCCCGAAGGGCATTTCGAATATTTAAGGATGCCTTTTGGCCTTGCTTATGCTCCTGCCGTATTCCAGAAAGTTGTTAACCTTGCTCTGGGAAAATTGAAAAATTCTGTCTTTGGTCTACATAAATGTCTTTGGTCTATATGGATGACATTTTAATCCCTAGTCATACACCATACAGAAGAAGGGCCCACCGTATGTGTGTAGACTTCCGAGAACTCAATCGAATGACTATTAAGGACAGATATCCTTTGCCACTTATCGAGGACCAATTGGACAGGTTAGTTCAAAGTCGGTATTTCATATCGTTAGATACAGCTTCAGGGTTACACCAGATACCAATCCATGAAGAATCGATCCAGAAAACAGCTTTCATCACTCCCGAAGGGCATTTCGAATATTCAAGGATGCCTTTTGGTCTTGCTAATGCCTCTGCCGTTAACCTAGCTCTCGGAAAATTGAAAGATTCTGTTGCTTTGGTCTACATGGATGACATTTTAATCCCTAGTCATACACCAAAGGAGGACCTTGCCCATTTACGTCTTGTCCTGGAGGAACTTAGTACTGCTGGGTTCTCATTGAATGTTCAGAAATGTCGATTTCTTATGATTCGATTTCTGAATACTTCTGGTTTCCGCTCATGCGAGTGTTTGTCAAACGATACACTGAGCATTCTGTTGTATGTGAAGTCAAGAAAACAAGAACTAGACTACTCTAGGGTTTCATTAATCCTGTGGAAAAGCCAAAAGAACCATACCATATGGATTGCCTAGGACCATTATTGCCTGTATTCAGATGGTTTTAAGCATATACTTGTTATTGTTGACGCATTTGCCTATTGTTACCCCTTAAAACGGTTACAACATCTGACACACGTGAAAAATTGCAAAACGTCTTAGTGTTGTTTGGAATACTCCTGAAAATCATCATTTAAGAATACAACGTTCCCAAAATACTTGGAGCAATGGAACATTGAACACCACTTCATAAAACCTGATGTTTATAGGGGGAATGGTCAGACAAAGGATCATCAGAAACCTCCTTAGGATTGAAACACATATTAAGTTAGAATGGTCGAACGTACTATGGAAAATACAGCTACAACGCAAAAATCTACAAACACAACTTCATTGCAACTTTAGTTGGGAATTCAACGTTCAACACCTTTGATTCAAGCTTTATTGGAAAATTTGTCCAAAGACCTGACACCAGTTTGTAATTGGAGTAGCTGAGAAGCTTGCTTCAACTTCTGTTTCGGGTACCAGGAACCAAAAACGTCGGGATAATGTTACATATTCTCTAGGGACTTTATTCTTGAAACCGAGCAACAGCATTCTCATAAGTACGATTGCTCTGTCATTGGAAATATGAATACGGAGGACAAAGACAGAACTTTCGTTCTTATGAGAACGCTGCTCCCCTGTTTCGAGAATAAAGTCCCTGGGCTGGGACTCTGTAACGAATAGAGATATTTTCTCTATCTCTATTGACGTCTCCTCTCTATTGACTTCGACATGAGAGAAGAAGACAGCAAGTGCCATGGCGATAGGGATAACGAACCCTTATCCGTTACAGAGTTCCTGCCCTGGTGACTTCGTGCAAAGAATTCGTGTTGATGCACAGGAATTCGCAGATGCATATCAGCAAGAGCGATTACGAGTTTTTGGGAACGTATGAAGTTTTGCAGTGTCTAGAAAATGGATGGTATGAAATTAAGAAGGTTGGTACAAATGTGATAACCAAGGTTGCAAAGGAGCAACTTAGAATATGGCCCCTACAATGGACTCGATATGCAAGAAGTTCTTGAATTAATGGAAAAGAATGATGAAAATGAAGGTCAGTAAATTTTGGTTTATTTTTCTTGGTCTTTGTCTCGTAAGCGGCAAAGACAGGTGTAAGGCTGCGGTTTTCACAAACATGTTTTAAATTGATTTTTTTCCTTTTGGTAATAGCGAAGCCTGGTGGAAGACTGAGGACTTCGCGGTAATGGTACTTTTTGCAGATTAAAATAATAATAATAATTCAAGACTCTGCAAATGAAAACATACCAAGAACAAAGAAAACAAGATAAACAAACAAACCGGCAACCCGTGGTAGGATATATGTAGATTGCTCTAAGAAGATAACAGAGAGAAAGGAGGCACTAAACAAATACACAACCGATCCCACACTTGAAAACTACCTAAATTTGAAACACACCATAACGAAAACAAGAAAATATTTTAAGGCCGCAACAACGATGAGACTGCTGTGCTCTGATTACTAAGGAGTAAAAAAGATACTGCCACGCGAATAGACGAAACGTCATACTCAATGATCAGCAACCTTCCATTCAAAGCAAAGCAGATACTATTAAAAAAAATACAACCAGATCCTACAAGGCGACAATCTCCCACCACCAAACAAAGACCCAGAACTAAGTGGGAGCTACAAACCAACAGCACTGGCATCATGCTACCTTAAGATTTTAGAAAAAATGATAAGGAATAGGATGGACTGGCATATAGAAAACAGGAAACTGCTACCGCACTAACAAATGGGTTTCAGAAAGAAAAAAATAGTGCACATAACAACTTAAGCCATCTCGTAATTCGAGACAATTGGTAAACCGTTTGGTTATTTTGACGAAATTCAGAATAAATTTGTGGTAGTAGCCTAGAAATCCGAGAAATCCTTTGATTTCTTTTGTTGTTTTTGGGATCGGGTATTTTAGTATCGCCTTGATTTTGTCAGGGTTTAGTTTTATGCCTTTTGTTGTCACGATATGGCCTAGGCCTATGGCCTTTCTTGGGAATTCGAATTTATCGGGTTGGATTTTTAGGTGACTTTCGCGTAGTCGTTGAAAACTGATTCTAAGTTTCTAATGTGTTCTTGTAAGGAGGTTGAGTAGACGATAATGTCATCCATATATACGAAGCATATTCGGTTTCGTAGGCTGTTAAGGACACCGTCCATAACCCTTTGAAACGTGGCCGGAGCGTTCTTGAGACCGAAGAGCATTCGTACAGGGTTATTGGTTATAAATGTCACCCCCTCTATCTTTTTTATTTGACATTTTAGAAAAAAGTGTCTCAAATAAAAGTTTTATGGTTGAAATTAAATTTTTTGAAAAACTCACTTTCGTATATACAGAGTGTTTTAGGAAAGCTGGTCGCGCTCCAACTTTCTTATTTTAAATGGAATACCCTGTATATTATTGAATATTCGGATTCTACATAAAATTTTGAGCAGATTTCATGTGATATACCCTATACCTAAGTTCAACTATTTTGGAAATATTGATGGTTGAAAATTGACTTTTTGCGACTTTGACAGGCTGTAAAACCTAAACGGTTAATTTTAGAGCAAAACCGGTCTTATGTTTTTATCTTGGATTTTCATAAACTATCAGTTGACACTGATATTTGACATACCAACTTTGATTTTAATCCATGATTAAAAATTCAAATTAAATTTAATCTCCGGTTAAATTCAAAGTTGGTGTCAAATCATAGCTTATGAAAATCTTAGAAAAAAATGTAAGTTCGGTTTTGCTCTAAGATTAACCGTTTAGGTTTCACAGCCTGTCAAAGTTGCAAAAAAGTCAATTTTCAATTGTCAATATTTCCAAAATAGTTGAAATCAGGTATAGGGTATATCACATGAAATCTTCACAGAATTTTACGTAGAATCCGAATATTCAATAATATACAGGGTGTTCCATTTAAAATAAGAAAGTTGGAGCACGACCAGCATTTCTGAAACACCCTGTATATGCGAAAGGGAGTTTTTCAAAAAATTTAATTTCAACCATAAAACTTTTATTTGGGACACTTTTTTCTAAAATGTCAAATAAAAAAGATAGAGGGGGGTGACATATTGTAATGCCCATTCTTGACATTAAATGCGTTTTATGTCGTCGGAATGCATCTCTATCTGATAGAATCCACTCGCGAGGTCTAGGGTACATCAACCTAGCTTTCACCAGAAATGAGGCAGTTGTGGCTGTACATATTTCTAGATTTAAAATCACCTTTTGATGCTGTAGATATACACTTGCTGTATCAGAAGTTAGTAGACAAAAATATCCATAGATCTATGCAATATTATATACAAAATATTAACAATAGAAAATTGTTTACCAGAAACACACAAGGCAAACTAATAGGATGAAAAATAGCAACCATAGGCCTTCCACAAGGATCCCCATTGAGCACTATTTAACATTTATCTCAGAAACATCTTTGGAAACATTGAGAAAGACATAATCATAAGTGCATATGCAGACGACATAGTAATCTTCTCCAAAGGCAAACACATTTCCCAAATAACAGACAAAATATATAAATCACTGAACTTAACAGCAAACTGGTTAAGTACTGTCTATCGTTTCTCAAATGAGACAAGGCAAAAATTGGGGTTTGCACCTTAAAATTATTATACTATTATTAGGCAAAATATATTGAGCGTGCCCGTATACATTGGATGCGAAGCCATGTGTAAACAATGCATCTTATTGGTTGTTTAATATAGTCAACGTTGACTCCAGGAATATCCTATCAGTTAGATTTTTTAAAGGCGGCATATTTCTTTGAAGCGGCTACCGCACAGGAATCAGTTTCGTCTGGAAAGACAGTGCAGTAGATATTTTTTATAAATCTGATTCCTATTTAAGTTGTATTGTGCCTTATGTTTTATTTTATATAAAACTGTTTTAATAAATTTCTCTTAGTCCGCCCGTGCTTCATAAAGAAAACGCCGGCGGCCAAAGGAATTTTATTTTTTTTACTGTCTCATTTGACTATACAAACAAATAAACCCTATCGACCAATAAGCTAAGCCATGATCTTCACAAAGGGTAAAAGGAAAACAATATAACCTACTATACAAATACAAAACAAGCATATACCACTTCAAGAAACAGTTATCTTGGATTCATACTGGATAGCAACATCAACTTCAATAAACACATAGAACACATCACGACAAAAGCAAAAAACGGTCTAAACCTACCGAAAATATTTGAAGTCAGGTGGGGCGCCGACCCACTAACCCTAATAAAGATACACCTACTGTCCTAATTATGTAAAATCTTGAGTACGGTGCACTCCTATTCAACCCCAACCAACCAACGTATTATTAGCAGAGGCCAAACAATGCAATTGGAACATAGACAAAAGCTACTGGGAATTAAGTTCCTATATATTCAGTATCCAAAATCATCAATATTAATAACCACCCCATTATACCAATCATTAAAGCAATAAAAATTCAGGCGTCTCATGCCAATGGCAGCAAATATCCACTTAAGTTCCTCAAAATTTTTTAGAGGGCGCGAGTGAACTTGGAGGGTTTTAAATTTTGGCGGTAAATGTCAATAGTTTAAAACTGATTAAATTGAGTAGAAAGAAAGATGACTATCTATGAACAATGGACAATGGATAAGTTAAAATATCTTCTAAAGCGTTCAGTGGCCCTTAGAGAATATTTTTAAAAGTGTCAGCGTCAGCTTGTCTAGAAACCACACATCAAACTTCAGTTTTGAGGTTAGAATTACAATCGAATTTTTACGCGCCAAAATTTAAAGAGATCCAAGTACAGAAGCGCCCTCTTCAACTCAACTGTCAATATTACATGCCATTATTGGAGGAGAAAAAACAACATTCCGTTCCTTGTGCAGGCTTTGGACTATTTATATCAATACAAAGACAAAACAGACACACTAGATAGATTACCATGCTATATACACTTTCATATATACAGGGTATACCATTTAAAACGAAACAGGCTTAATATCTGATGTAACTTTTATTTTTTAAAAAATCGCTCGTACACATTATTTGATTGTGTAAGTGTTTGAAACATTTTCAGCACTAATTTAACCCTCTAGGAGGGGTGGGATCAACCCTTGCCATTTCAAATGGAACAGAGAGTCGAGTGATACCTATTTTGAAAGAGCTTTCTTTTTTTTTTCAAATGACGAGAAACCAAAGAACGAAGAATTAAGAATTGAAGAACATTAATCAGAAAACCACCAACTACACAGATGAAAAAAGTGAATGTGCAACAACGATGTTCTAGAGCCAGATAAAGTTGAAGCATAAGAATGAAATGAGCTGGCAAATTGCCCTTGAAAGGAGCAGAAGCCAACAAATATAGAAAAAAATGTAAGGTTCTATTAAAACAATATGATACATAAACGTACTGTACTTTATTAAGTAGGTGCCTGTTTATTGTGACGATGATTTTTATTAAAAGTTCTTACTCATTTGTTTGATATTTCCAGCAATCAGCCCCTCGATACCGTCGTGAATACCCAATACAGTGTCGCCCCGATAAATTGCATTCCTTACAAAGGATCGTACGGCAGCGTTCATACCGCAACAGGGGGCGCCAACGTGGATCACACCCATAGTGTAGCCTTCCTGAAAAAGTTTAGAAATTCATTTTTTTTCAGGTTATTTTAAAGGTTTTACAGCGATAAGCATTTTAAGGTGGAAGGAACAAAAATTCAAAATAAAAGATCGTATTTAAGCAGCAATTCCTCTATGGTTGCCAGTAATGCCAGTTGTCATTTGAAAGATTTAAATTTTGATAGAAGTTGCATTAGAAAAATCAAAAAAATAAGCTATGGTGGGACTCCGTGCCATGTAGAATTCGACATATCGAAATATATACGAATGCCGCACATAGGGCCGAGCCTATAAAATCTGTCGATATGTAAAATTCTACATGACACAGAGTCCCCGGGCTATATTCAGCAAGTGAGAATTTTGAAAATCCCTCAAGTTCTACGTTTTAAGATGATAAAAGTAGCAAAACAGGTGGCGTGCCAGAAAAAAAAGTAAAGCACTAGTGCAGGGAGGATTTTGTAACATACTTACCGACATGAACAGGGAATCTCGCTGCTAAAGTCCACCAAAAAAATCAAAAAACCTGAGTTAGTACTAAGAATTGGAAATATTTCAAAATAAGCTCCAGCTAGTGCAACTTAAAAAAAAAACATCAAAGTGTCTGCCACGTGTAATTTGTAATACCTTGGTGAGTACATGTTTTTTCCCCACGTCCTGCTTATTAGTGGGCGAACAAAAATGATTCAAGAAGTATTAAGTGCAAAACAAAAACCAAATTCACTTACTTTTCCCACACCTTTTTCATTAAAAGCTGTCTTAGGCGGCTTCAAACGGGTCAAAAGCTTGTAGGTTTCCAAGTTTCTCATAAACGATTTGCCTCTTAGGCTCACTGCCTTGTCCCAATCCTTAACCGCCATAGCCTAAATTGAATCGAACAATAATTCATTCATGCACATTTTTGTCAAGCCTTACTTGAGCCACAGCCTTAGTTTGCTTGACACATTCCATCAAAGGCAACCTAACAGCTTGGTTTCCATCCAAAGAAATTACGCAAGGTTCTGTGTGCTCTTCGGCTTCCATTAAAGCCATAACTGCTTCTGCGCCCATTCTGGAACCCAGTACCCGGTCGAAAGCGGAAGGATTGCCGCCTCTTTGGACGTGTCCCAAAACGGTGATTCTAGTGTCTTGATTTAAATTGTCTACGACCACTTTTTTGACGTCCTCGGCGGTGATTGGACGGCCTTCACGGTCTATGGCTCCTTCTGCTATGATGATGATGTTTAGACGTTGACCGGCGCTTCTTTCCTAAATAGAAGAATTTTTGGTTTAAATGTTATTTGTCAATCTTGAGAGTATAGTTCAAGTTGGCTTCAATATAGCAGAAACTATCTTAATTCTATTGAGTTACTAATTAATGGAATTAGTTTGTATGAAAATATCCTACTTTGAAAGCAAACATATTACACACAGTAGATTATAAGTATGAGATCAATAAAATTATACCTGCATCAACTTTTTACAAAGTTTATCGGGCCAGTCCACTGGCACAGGATCTTCCGGTATGAAAACATAGTCAGCTTCGCTTGTCAGCGCAGCAACTAGTGCTAAATAGCTGAAATATGATTTTGTTAAAAGTGTACGTACACTGCAAGCAAGATGATTGTTGTCTACTGCTAAAAAAACACAACACAATTGATACAAATCAAAACATGTTGTTAGTTTGTGAATAAAAACATGTTTATAACCTGCTCTAATTTGTGGCATAACTTTTCCTTCCAGTCCTCTGGTGGTGGAGATTCTGGTATGAAAATATAATCGGCCTCTGATGTTAGGCCTGCAACTATTGCTAAATACCTATAGAGAAAATTTGCAACTATATTCTGTTAAAAAGACAGTAGACAACATTTATTATTAATTTTTTGCTTACCCACAATGTCTGCCCATCACTTCCATAATAAATGTACGCTGATGCGAATAGGCCGTTGAAACTATTGCATCTGTGGCTTCAATGATTCTATTACATTATTGTTAATTTTTAATGTGCTATTTGACTGAAAAAACGATTACACACCTGTGTAAAGCAGAATCAGTACCGATAGTCATATCGGTACCGCAAAAATCGTTATCGATGGATCCCACAAGGCCAGCAATAGAAAGGGTTTTGTTTTTCTCCCTTTGGTCCTTGGTGATTTTGCCATCTGCCAGCAATGCATCTAGCAAGTCTGACCATTCTTGTCTGAAGAGATCGGCACCGGTCAGAGAACCGTCACCGCCTATCACCACTAGGTTTGTAATGCCTTTTTCTATTAGATGGTAAGCGGCTTTTTTGCGTCCTTCTTTTTCTCTAATAATTGTAAGAAATTAAGCATTGAAATGAAGCAGTATTACTTGACCTCTCCAAGCAGATAAAGTCAATTAAATTTAAAATTTAGTAATAAACTAAACAGATGTGGCCTTGATAAAAACAACAAAGTTTATATGAATATTTTTTTAGAATTTGTATTTTCCTGTCTTTGAAATAAGTTGCAAATAGTTGGTGGTTCTTACTTGAAAGCTAAACAACGTGCAGATCCAATAATGGTGCCACCTTTATGAATGATACAACTGACTGATGACCAATTTGCTTCGACAATATTGTCTCCCCCATCTACCATGCCTGAAAATAAAAAGATTTTTTGTAACTTGGACAATAAATAAAGCTGCTTTCCAGTTATCTTATAAAGTGCCTTAGTTTCATCTTGGTACAAGGTGATTGGAAAAAATTCAAAGAAAAAGGAAACTTCCACCTTTCAAGGACCCTAGTCTCTATTGTAAGAGTCAATGGCCAAACATATGCTGTGGCAAAACTATAGTTTCGAAAAACTTCCTGTAACTTTTGGCAAGATTTGCTGCTTGAATAATGATGATTCTCAAATTTCAAAATCAAAATTATTCCAGGTTTTTCAACATATTTTCGAAACAATCTGAAATTGATGTTTTGTGCATTTTAGCAAGGATATATTCATCTCAATATTATTACCTTATTGATGAATCATCACTGTGAAGTAATAAAAAAAAGGGACCAGGGGTAATGTAAACAAGCTCGTCCCTTTCTTTTCTTATTTATTTTAATATTCGTCATTCGGCAGTGGACTATTTACCACCAAGGAGGAATAAGCTATTAAAAAAATAATAATGATAGTGAGCATTTTTGACCGAATTTTCTAATAATTGATTAGTGTACAAATTAATATTTTTCGTAAGTAACAACAACTATTTATACACTTCTGATTCTGCCCCTCAGTCACGTCACAGTCCCTTCATGCACTTACAAAGTTTCCAAAGGAATTTACCTTCTGTTTTTTTATTAGGGGTGATAGGTGGAGTGCCCTAGGGTACAGTACTTGTGCCCTTTTTTTAATCTTGTACATAAATTCACTTCTATCTTTAAACTTAAAATGTTTAGCCCTATCATACGCAGATGACACGGTTCTCATTTTTGAGGACGATACATATGGAATTCAGTCAAAACAAAAGTGTCGGATATCATGACTATTTTGAAGAAGTGGCTGGACAAACATAAATTGTCCTTGAATATTGCAAATCTAAGTATGTTGCTTTTTCTCAATAACCATTGATCATCAATCAAACTTCCCTATAAAAGAGGTCAAATGCACAAAATATCTTGGGATAATTCTAGATAAAAATCTGAAATGGACCCCACATGTACAAAAATCAAAAGCTTGATACACAAATTTCACCTAATAAGAAATATGTTGAGTAAAGAATCTTTAATAATTACATATCAATCCCTGGTCGAACCTTTACTATGTTATGAAATAGTGGTCTGGGGTGGAATCTACAATAACGCACTAGAAACTCTGAACACCATACAGAATTATATCTTGAAAATCATATTTAAAAAGGACAAGTTGTGTCTCACCCTCACCTCACTCCTATATAATAAAAAAATTCTCAACGTTAGATCTTTATACTTTCATGCTAGTTGTGACCCTGGTAACATTTGGTAATACACATACAGATGCTCTGCACCTAGGTGTACTATGTTTTCAGATCGATAACTAGATAGAAACGTACAGGAATCAGAACTTTGGTAAGCTACTTCTAGTTGAGCACGTTTAGTATTGAGCTTTGAGCATTTTGCTGTAAATGTTTTCAATAATTTCCTCTTTAAATGATTACGATTTTTTATCAATTGTAGTTGCATTTCACTGACATCCAGGGCAACAAATCGTGATTTGATTATTACTTTTTGGTAATTGGTGTCCCCTGGGGAGGCCGTCCACCATAATAGGTTAGGATCCCATTTGTTGCACGATTATACTATTTACGGTAAGTGTAGCAGTGGGGCACTACCGAATACCGGCGAGAAATGGCTGAATTGTGATTTGCTGTTGGATGTCAGCTGCACAATATGATTTCAAGTGGATTAAGCCTACTGGATCATACAAGAATAGCCGAAAGCTGAAGAACTTTGTCAGGCAAACCTTAGGATTCAGATTTCTGGAAACTTTAAAAGGTCGTAACTTTTTTTCTATTATACTAGATGGAAAGTTTAAACACGGTACCTTATAAAATTCTTTATATAATTTATGGCTTGGAATCAATCTTGCAATAATCCTAGATTTTCGATTGATATTTGTCAATCTAAGGTCACTATGGCAGGAATGAGTTTGTTTTTTTAATATTTTTTTTTTCTAAATGGCAGTTGATCATAATTATTTCTGGATGAATGGGTTTTTGGTGTAAAAAACCTACTGGGGTTTTCAAAAGTGGTTTTTGTGTATGGGAACGCTAGGGGAGATTCAGGAAAATCTGGGGAGATTCGGGGAAATCTGAGGAGATCTATGGGAGAAGTGAAAAGATATCTAGGGAAATCTGAGGGAAATATTAAGTTCAGAATTTAATTTTCTATTGATTGAGAATATTCGAACCATGTTATCAGGTTTTCCACTTAAACTGAAATAAAAATATTATACCTCATATTGTATGTAATAAATGCAGGTTTGATGAGAAATTGCATATGTTGTGTTAAAGCGAAGACCTTCAGGAGTGGTGTTCTGGCTGTGCACTTGTGCTGATATTCATTCTTGGAAGATTTTAAAAAATCTGTAGAAATCTCAGGGGGGTCTTGGGTAATCTGGGGAAATCTGTGGATATCTTTTACATAAAGATATCGCTTGTAAGTTAAATATGTTGTGACTAACATCTTGGATTTGTGCCCAGTAACGTTAATATCCGATTGAAATTAACAAAATTGTAAGCGAAAATGTGAGTTGAATTCATTTTGGATAAAATCAAAGGACCCTGCACACTTCTTATGAAATTGTTACTCAATATTCTGATTAAAAGTGTCTAAAGGCACAACTTGATTCTATGACTGGTTTTCGAAATACAAGGAGTAAAAACAGTTTTCTTGGAATACTTAACTGAAATTCACTATTAGAAACAGGGTTTAGTGCAGAATTCTTTTAAAAATATCTTTATTGAAACCTATTATTAGTATGGAACCTAATATTATTCTACTATATGTTTATATTATTTAGTTGTTACTAAAACTATGAAGTACAAGAAATAATTTCTCTCCTAATTATTTATTCTACAATAACAGGAACTTCATTGGCATTTGCATGGTATTCAGCCTCTTTAACCGGTTCCAGAATATTTTAAATTGGATATTGAACATGCGGCTCATGTCTTGCATAGGTAAAAAACCAAATAACGCTGCCTATATGTGACAGCACATTCTAGTGTTCTTGCACCAGCTTTACATTGACAGTAGTATCTTATAATCAATTTTCTTGATTTGCCATTTCTTGATAATTAGAGAGAATGAACATTTGATATTTAATGGGATTTTGGTGTCTAGATTTTACTCTTATTCTTAAAAAAAGGTCAAAGTTTAACCGATGGAATGGTCATATTCAAAAAACAATATTACCTTTTTGATTATGGTTATCCTGGATATAGAATGGTGAAAGTTTTAATCTCGAAAACTAGTCATAGGATCAAGTTGTGCCTATGGACATTTTTAATTAGAATGTTGAGAGTAACATCAAATTTTCAGAAAAATTTAACGAATCCCAAAATCCCATAAGAAGTGTGAACCCCAAAAAATCACATTTCAGGACGTTTTATTTATTTTTTTCAAGGAAATATTTGTGGGATCGGATTGAAATTTTGCAAGTGGAGAGAGACAAGATTCAAGATTGAAATTCAGGAAAATTAAAATTAAAATTTCCTTTTTAAATAAAAGTTAAAACTGATAAAAATTAAAATTAAAACTGTTTAAAGCTTTGCAGCCGTGAAACTATTTAAGCTGCATTAAGACTATTCAAGAGAAATTTGTAAACAATAGCAATTTTTGAAGCCTAATAATAAATATCAAGATCTGAATGAATTTTACATCACACAGATAGATTACAGAAACCAACCATGTTCTCCTTTTGAGAGATGGCTATGTTAAATTCATATATGACTATCTCCGAAGAAACATAAGTATAGACTATTCTTTTTAAACGGTTTGCAAATCTAGGGCACGTTTTGATGTTGCAAGATGCTTGATAGCGATATTGGAGGTTTTACGAACAGGGATTACATAGTAGTTTTGGTAGGGCCTGAAATAAAAAGATTGTCAACAAAATTTCTAACAGTTCTATCAAGCAAATGTTTTTTTTCTCAAATCTAATTGTGTGTACAACTCCAATTAATAGTTTCTGTTCTTGCAAAAACTATTATTTAGTTAACAGGAAATTTTATAATAATGACGTATTTGTCAAGTTTCAACAAATACCCTGCGTTTTTATTCTCATCAAATTTTACCAATGGATCCACCATTCTATGTCCGTCGGTGTCATTTTTCATCCACTAAACAAAGATAGCTAACTCATCGGTGAAGTCACCGATGAGAATAAAAACGAGGGGTAACTTCAAACACAAACTTAACCACAAAATGTTTTGTAAAGAATTCACCTTATCTTAATAAAATAAGGCTTAGTGTAATGGCAAAGAATATTGGGAATGCAGAAATGACAGTCTTTCAAATACACTTAATATCATAGACAATAAAAAATACCTTGGTTTATTATATTTCTCTATGCTTAATATGGATCCTGCCAACTGTCACAATGACAAACACTTGCATTTTTCAAATGGAACACCCTGTATATTTTTGACTAGAATGATAGCTTTTTTTCTTCTTATTCCAAATATACCATGTTGATATTTGATTTAGTTGTTTTTGCACTATTTAATTTTAAAATTGCATTGAGCAATTGATATAAGAAACCAGGACAGATTAAATTAATTAATAATAATGTAATACTTGACCCAAACTTTATTTGATAACATATGTGTTAATAGGACCAGATAACTATCTAATACCTATAGACAATCAACATCCCTGCCTTAGTGTTTGTCTGTAAGGTTGTATCTACCACTTGAATTATGTATGTATGGATTACAATCATTGAGGGGATGCAAAGGAAATTTTTAAAATATCTTTATTATAGAACGTATGGATTCTACCCACAAAGAGGTTGTAATACTGAGTATTTGTTGGGTGTCTTTGGGAGAGTGTCATTGGAGAAAAGAAGATTTAAAATAATTCTTTGCACAATGTTAAGGTTGCTGAAGGGTGAAATAGATGGCCCTGATATTTTTGGCCAGTTATCATTTGCGATACCTAAATCGAATTATTTCTCAGAATTCAAACAGTTTTTTTTTTAGCAATCTGTATGTTGATATCTTCAACCGTTTAGCCGCTAGAGGGCGATTCTTGCCATACTATGAAACCTCTATAATTTTTTTGTTTATTAAAATAATTCATTTCTGTAAAGAGTTTCTAATAGCACTTTTTTTGAGCAGAATTCAGTGACGTTCTCAGTGTTTTTCTATTTGGCTCCGATTTCGATATATTGACCAAAATCTCATTTTTATTAAGATCTGCTCTTGCTGATTTCAATGATATAAACTTCAATAGGTTTATCCCTAACAGTTTTCAAGAAAAAAAATATTTCGGTTTTTGTTCTCTCTCTTATTTTCTCCTCCTTCTCCTCTTATTTTTCTTATTTATGAGTGACTTTTTCTTAGAGTAACTTTTTCTTTATTGTTACCTCGATTGTTACCTTAAAAAATGTACTTGTGATACTCGATACTCTGCACCTAAAGGTATTCAGTTATCTAGTATTATAAGGACTGTACTTATTACTATATGTACCATATATTATAAATGGAAATGTAACAAATTTTAGTAATATAAAATATGTCCAAGATAAGGAGAGCCAGTATGGGGATCTTGGAAACAGTAAGAGATACGACGTTGCTCAAATTGGGAAAAAGTTGCGCAATTTTGTGCTCATTAAAATAGCATTCTGATATTCTAAAAATTCCGATTGATACCGAAGATATCCGGGAGAACCCGAAATTTTCCCAAAACTATTTTATTTTTCCTGACCTTATTTGAAGAGATATTTCAAAATGAAGGGCACTTCGTCATTGCCACTTTTCCTCCTCTACGATATGGCATTATCAAATTTGTAATCCGACGTTTCGTCTTTGAGCCACCATATCATCAGATCCCCTTGGCCCTCCTTATCTTGGACACATTGTATATATTGTTTTATTTGCAAGGGCGGTTTAGAGGGGGGGTCGAGGGGGTAATTACTTACTTAATTAGAAAGAAAGAAAGAAAGAAAACATGCTTTATTGTCCAAGTTACAATAAACTTATTGACAAAGCTATAATATAAATATGCACTAACTAACAACCTGCAAAAGATTTAGCCTATAGGATCTCAAGTGAATGAAATAATAAGTTGGTTTTTGTTGACACATGCAAACTGCGATTTTTTGAAAAAAAATTCAAACCATTTCAAAAACGGTTGAGTTTTAGTATAGGTAATTCCTAAAAAAAAGTATGTAAGATTTTTAGAACGATCCATTAATGTACTAAAATAAAGGGTGTTCCATTTAAAATAACAATGTTCTGTCATATACTCCATTTACGGAGCACCCTGTATATTCAAAAATATTTTCAACTAATGCACCTTAGAGTATCAAACAACTTTGTATTTTTTTTTTTCATCACCCTGTAAGGAGATATCGTCCGATATTGCACTAAGTGGACACGCTGTATAACTATTTTGATGGCATCGGGATACATTTTTGCCCGAAACGTGTTTTCTAAACGACTTTCAAGTGCAAATTTGGGCGTGGCACTCCAAAAAAATCCATTACCCCCCCCCCCCCCCCCCCAGAAAATCATGTATGGACCGCCACTGTTTATTTGAACTATTCCATAAGGATTTGTAGAGGATTTAATTAGCTTCGATTTGGGCCTAGTTACAGTTACATTAAGATCTGATTGAAATTAACAAAGTTATGAGCCAAAATGTGGGTTGATGACATTTTGGAAAAATATCAAATTTCCATAAAATGCCATTCAAGGAGGTTTTATTCTTTTTTGTAGGCAAATGTTTGAAAGATTGGATTGAAATTTTGCAAGTGGATTTTAAAGAGATTGAAATACAAGAGAAAAAAAATATGGAAATTTGCATTTGCCTGCTCATCTTTAAATAAAATCAAACTCAAACAAAAGACTTTGAAGCTGCACAACTACATAACTAATAAAGCTGCATTAAAACTATTCAATTAGGATTTGTAGAGCACTCAATTGGGTTTAATTTTAGCATAATTACATTCAAATCAGATAGAAATTAACAAAGTTGTGTAACAAAATGTCAGTTTGGAAAAAATCACTTTTCCAAAAATCAACATTTTATTTTTTCTTTGAGGGAAATATTGCAGGAATTAAGTAAATTTCCTCTGATACCAAAAATGGACCAAGTTTCCAATAAAATAATATTCCTTAATAATACTTAAAGTTTGGGACTTATTGTTACAAAAATACATGATGATTAAAATAAGTATAATCAAGGGGTTTTTCACCTTGTTAATCGGTGTACAAAGCACTGGTTAATATATGTCAATACCAGGTAAATACTATGTCAATAGTGTCAATACTATGCAATACCTAGTGTTGTAACAAGTGAACTTTACCGAGCGAACATTCGCACTATTACCGTAATTTACGGTAAAGTTCGCTACTCTTTAAGCGAAAGTTCGCTGAAAATGCATTTCTAAACGTTACCTAATCGTTTAATCATGGACATGGACCCTGATTTCTGAATATTTCCATTATTATTTTTTTATTTTATAATTACTTGTGTTATTAGCATTACCTACAGAAAGTTCGTTTTTTGAGTTCCTTTTTTTTTAGAGTTCCGATTTATATTTTTAAATTAATTTTTTTTATATTATTTTTTGTTTTGACTCAACACTTTATGTATATCCTGTTCACAATCCGATGTCCACAGGTGCAGGTAAATTTATCACCTTTCCCTATCAAATAGCATTGAAAGGTGATAAATTTTACCTATACCTGTGGACATCGGATTGTGAACGGATAATAGTTAAGTTATGTAGGTATTTGCATTTAAAGATTTTTGAGTTTTATTTTTTGGTGCTACCACTGCAACCCACATCCTACATCTACGTTGTTTTTTAGTTTGTTTTTTATTACACCAACTTACAAGAAACAAGACTTGTATTAGTTTCATAAATATTATCATTTTCTCTACAATAAAATAATTACTTAGACAAGGGTCACATCTACATTTATGGAAAATTCACCTACCCCTACCATAGGGAAATTTAATGAAACTTTATTATTAATAGACATTTTTACAAGCCCTAGGTTAAAAAGCCAAATTTATAGGTGCTTTTGCAACATTCTCCAAAGTTCTCATAAATTCTCGAAAATTCTCAAACATTCCCGAAAGTTCGGTAACGTTCGAAAATTACCGAGAATTTTACAACACTAGCAATACCTATTTGTTAATTATGTATGTAATATATGTCAATACTTGTAGATATCTAGGCAATAATGTCATTGGTTGATACCCATTAATAACATGTAAATACCTGTGAATATGTCAATACCTAGAATTCTGGCAAGACAAATATTTAATTTTAGTCTGTCAATAGCATGGCAATACCAGGCAATATGTGATAATACTAGGAAAATACCTGGCAATATGTGGAAATATTTTGTTAATACATGGCAATAGTTGGCAATAACTTGTTATTAGGTACATCTGTTATTACATGGAAATATCTCAGTTAGTACTGTTAATCGGTGTATAAATTTTGTTAGATGAAAAACCCCTTGAGTATAACTAATTGACTTACCTTGATATCCTTCCTTGATAAAATAGACTTTGCATCCCAAATAGATTCCCATACGAACTACAGCCCTTACAGCGGCATTCATACCCTAAAATAAATCAAATATCTTAGACAAACTGCCTACATTTGCATTGTTTTTCATCTCTTAATAGAAAAAAATGAATACAGTTTCAAAAGTAGGTACTGACTTGAACCTGTGGTTCTTTATATTAACAAGCTTTGGGGTTCTTACCTGTGAATCGCCACCGCTAGTAAATACAGCGATCCCTTTGCCTTTGTGAGCCCCTCGTTCAATGAATTTAGCCCCGGCCTTTTCCGTCATCCTGGCTGGAAAATACACAAAAATTTCATAGTATTCTTGACACTGACTTGAGACAAATTGGACTAGAGACTCTCTAAACTCACCTTTACTGTAAAATTTAACAGGAGATTTTAATAAGTTCTAAATAACAATTGGCGCCGGTTTTTTTAGACTCGGATATTTCAGACACTCATCAATTTAGGATTATTTTCTTGTTAGGTGCAAAGTACAATAGGTACTTAATTAATAAAGAAATTTAAAATGTTATTTTGATTCCTATAAAGGAGGATCTTCAAGGTGACCTCTGCACCCACGGGAACAATTTTTATTGGTTATGTTTTCAATGAAGGACAAATCTTTTTGCAATCCGAAGTATGTCTCTCTTTTTCTAACATTTGTTTCTAGATAAAGAGGGTGATGGAAATTTTTAATTACGAGCGCGTGACAGCTGGGAAACGGCGGTGTTGTCACATGTTGTCTTCATAACATTTCAAAATATTACGAAAATTGTTGAAAAAATTAGAAATAGTATTTGAGAACTAATTAATTATTTGAGTAGAAATGTTTAAAAGCATGCATAGAGCATTTTTTCTCTATTAAATAATAATATTTGGACAAATCTTATGAATTATTAGGAAAAATCGGAATATGGCAACGCGGTAATTAGGGATACGAATGAAGTTTTGAAGGGTTGTTAAGAGATGGCGTTACGTTAAGTGTCAGTGTCAGTGTTTATCAATCACATGTTCATGTCACTCCCACTCCCAATAACAAATAAAAAATAAAGTTCAAATTTCAGTCAATAAAAATTGATATAAATTTGTTAAAAATTAACCATTTAATTAAAGTTAATGCCCAAAAAGGACCCGTGTAAACCGTTCGCTTGCAACATCCAAGCCTGTCTTAAAGGTAAACCGAATTCTAACCTAACTTTTACCCAACCAAGATTTAAAAAATCCAAATTTTTTGGTTATATAAGCCCTTAAAGCGGAATATATACATTCTGTAACGTATCCGTAACGCAATCGTAACGCAGCAAAACTCAAGCATTTCAAAAATAATTTATATATGTATTTCTTCGTCTTCCTTTGTCGTCAAACAATCACATTTTATAAGCATTAGCACCTAATAGCATTCTAAATCATGCAGCCCACCAAATAGCACTGTCTACAATACAACTGTAACCATGAACTACTACTTATTTTCAGACTCTTACATCAAACTTCTTGATACAATCCATAACCATCTCTGCTTCCCTGCTGGTTGGATGTGCAAGAATTTCTTCCATCTGTATTGGTCCTCCTACCATCTTATTCAGTCTTCAATTCAATCAATATGTAGGACCTTTGTTCAGGTTACAGCTCAAGAGCACATGATTGATATGCCTCAATTCACCACATTACTTCATGTCAAGTTTGTATTTGGTGTTTAGATATGAGGCAATGTGAAGTTCTGATTCTGCAAAAGACATTAGTTCTTTGTCTGTCATAATTTTTGCACGCAGTGTTCTTTGGGGTTTCTTTGTTAATTTGTAATATTGGCTTGAATGATTTCTACCTTTATTGGTGAATTCCATAGCCCATTGCCTCCATGTCTCTTCCTTTGCTATCCGATATTAGAACAGCTTTTCCTGTGTCAATTTCTAACGTTTTGAAGGCTGTATAAATGGCTAGCAGCTGTGCTGAACAAATGTTAGTTAGATCCTGGCATTTCCCTATTATTGAGATTTTCCTTGTAGTGTTGTATATTTCAATTCCGCAATGTGTTGATATTGGCTCCAAAGATGTATCTGTATATATTTTTTCATGGTCCGAGTATTCCTCCGGCAACTCCTGTAATAAGAGTTGGTCATCTGGACTGTACTTTTGTATATCCGAATCCACCCAGTCTATTTTCCGCTTTTGAGTTGCCATATTCTTTTTGAAACATGACAGATTGTCTGAATATTCCTATGTGGGCCAACACATAATCCACCCCCGCCAGAGCGCACTTGGTCCGCCAATAAGGAGGATCCTGATTGTAACAAGCATAGAAGTTAAATATCACCCTATTGACCTCGTCCTCTCTAATGGCTACTTTTCAGAGCATCAACTTTGTACTAAGTATAGGTTGCTTCGCTTTATCAATGGTATTTCTGCCGCTTCAGATAACAATGCCATGCTCTTCATGCAGCCAGTCATGACTCTCAAGGTGTGCAGCCTTTTATAAATGTTCAACAATATATTTGGGTCAGCACCCCACCAGGTTCTCGTAATTGTTCTCATTATGTTAATTCCTTTCTGTGCCTTGTTAATCACATATTCAAAATTCCTGTCCAATATGACACCCAAGTACTTATAATTTTCAACCCACTCAATTTCTCTATTCAACACCCTTATATTTGTTATTGGATTATTTCTGCTACCCTTGGAAAACAACATAGCTTTAGTTTTTTCTGTTGAAATATTCATGTTATGGCCCCTTAGCCATCCTGTCAATCTGTTCAAAGCAATCTGCACATTTCCTATACCTGCTTCCACCTTTTTACCAGTTGCAAACAATACAATGTCATCGGCATATTGCGAGGCATATTGCAATGCACAAGCCTCGCCAGCCACGATTTCCTGAATTTGATTGGGGTACATGTTGAATAACAAAGGACAGAGGCGATCCCGGTGGCAACCCCATGTGTGAGGACTGGGTTTCCATAGAACGGTTCTCTTATAGTTATATTTCTATCTGAATACAAGTTATATATTATATAGGTACTCAATAATCCATTTATTAACACCGGCACCGGCTTCTTCCGACTTCTCTCTAAGAATTTCCAATGATACATTATCATAAGTAGCCCGAATGGAGACACAAACTATCACTTCATTATTGGTTAATGCTGTGGAAATTGAATGAGCCAAAATGACCAGGTTGTCTATGATCCCTTTTTCCCTTTCTAATCCCAGTTTGGACTACATTGAGTAAAATATTTTTTTTGGAATGTAAACACCACTGATTCAGTGTTTGCATAGATACTATAACCATTTTCAGTTATTATTTTCCTAGTTCTTTTCTTTAGTCTCATAGCCTTGACAGCAAGATACAGCTGCTTTAAAGTATAAATTGCTTCACTGAAATACATATAGTGTGTTTAACGTCTTACGGTTGCGTTATGGTTACCTTGCGTCAATAGACACAAAACTAACCCAAAGTATCCCAAACTAATCCAAAGTAACTCAAACTTATCAATACTAACCCAAACTTAGTAATACTAACCCAAAATAACTCTTTTTTTTTCAATTTTTGAGGGGTTTAGAAAATCTGCAAATGAGACTATCCCCGCCTATTGTTCTGGCGGCGGGGGGTGTGTCGGGATCGACCGACTAAAACCATTTCCCCTCTTCTCCTACCACCATGCGGGACCACTTGCGTATTACTTTACATGGTGAAGTGTATACAGGGCTTTCATTTCAAAACTTGCCACCCACGTTATCTGTGTAAAGAGGCATATTTGTGGAAATCGCCGAAATACGTCAACAAATTTGTGGGGAGGGGAGGGTTTTTTACGTGAAACTGGACTTCCTTTCTTCAACCCTCATCACGCTGAAAATGTAGGTGGCAAGTTTTGAAATGAAAGCCCTGTATGTGTCATATGTGATAATAATATGTGTGTATTTGTATCTTGTCTTTTACTCGTCAATGTTTTTATCTTCATTCTTCCTCTTCAGTATTTCTCTAGCCATATTCATCACTGCACACATTACCTGCAATAAAAGAAGGTGTCAGTTTCTTTGCAATATATGCATTCGTTGTCTGGTGTTTTGTTTATCGTGTATGTGTAGTCTCGGAAAGTAGTCCGTTTCTCCGTGCTTCCTCCCCATTCAGGCCGTTATACTGAGGATACGTCTGAAAGTCCATCTCCCCTTTGTACTGACTTCCCATCTGTTTTGCCATATTTCCGTCACCCTTTCCTTTGCCTCGGCGTTAGCGGTCTTTTTCTCGGGGCCGAGTGCCTTTGCCACTTGTGTGGCCTGTTTGGCCATGGGAAGTGTCGCTGCTATCACCAGAATAGCGTCGGCATGCGCTGTACGGTAGGCACTGCAGATCCTCAGCGCCGCCTGTCTTTGTTGTCCCTCTACCAGCTCCCGGTATTTTTTGTGTCTTAGGGCCCCTTCCCAGACTGGAGTAGCGTACAGTGATATTGACCGTGCGACAGAGCCCACTATCCTTCTTTTTCCCGAGACGAGTCCGTCAGCATTGGGCATCAGCCTTACCAGGGCTGTCATGGCGTTCCCTGCTCTGATAACAGACTTCTTGTTATGTGCTGTGAAGGATAGTTTATTGTCCAGCCAGACTCCCAGGTATTTGATCTCCGCCGGCTGGGCACGTCTTTTTTCCCAGGATGTCGAAGGTCATGGCTGGGACTACCTCTTTCGAGGTGAGTATTATGACCTCTGTTTTTTCGTTTGCCAGCTGTAGGTGATTTGCGGCAGCCACTTTATCACACGACTCATAGATGCTTTAATTTTTATGTTTACCCTATAAGGGTTACTCCTTCCGGAAGTCTCAGTCTCAGAAGGTTGTCATACATTATGTTCCAAAGGGTTGGGCCCAGAATGGAGCCTTGTGGGACGCCTCGGGATATGCTGAATGATGTCTTCTTTCCCTCCGCAGCCACCGTGATAGACCTGTCTGTGAAGTAGCTCTGTATGAGATTTAGCAGGTATGGGTCTGCTTCAGTTCTTGTACGATGCACTGCCAGGACGCCGAGTTGAAGGCATTTTTTATGTCGAGGGTTATCAGGACCCCGATATGTCTATCCTTGTGGTTTCTCTTGAACAGCCCTTCTGTGGCTATCTCCAGTACCTTTTGGATCACCGTCGTGGTGGAGCTACTCTTTCTGAAGCCGTATTGGTGTTTCCGATAGCCATAGGCTCTCGTTCAGCCTAGCTTGGATTATGTGCTCCAGTAGCTTGCCTATTGTGTTCAGCGTGCAGAGCGGTCTGAACTTTTGAGGGTCATTTTTGAGCTTCTCCATGAGAATCAGGTTTGCTGTCATCCATGCAGGGGGGATGGCTCCCTGTTCAACCACAATATTTGAACATCCTGAGGAAAGGTTCAGGGAGTCTTTCTGTTAGCACCTTTGAGATGGCCACCGGCACACCGTCCGGTCCAGGTGCTTTGTTCAGTCTTAGCTTAGAACTTGCATTGGATAATTTTTCCCTTGTGACTTCCTGGAACTCCATGCCTCTTATTTTATTTCTGCTTTCTCCCAGAGAGCCGTTGGACCTTCCGGGAAAAGCTCTTCGGCGATTGTTACGGGATTATTTTTCCCCCTCAAGTAAAAGTACCCCTATTTAGAAATTTATTACTAAGTTGTCATTTCACCTATACAGTTTTCATTTCGCTATTTTCCAGTACCATCTAACAATAATTGTGGTTATTTACTCAAACATTTTATAGTATATACATATTATTACAGATTCCTACACTTGCTTTATAGTACCGATGGTTCTATTACAGATTTCCGTACTACCTTCCTTTATATTATTACAGTTTCCTCTATTTGTTTGGTACCAGGCATTCAGTCAGTAGCAGTACCAGTGTCCCCAAATAGATTCTGTAGAAATTCCTCAAGGTTTTTTTTCTGGAAGAGAAAGAATTAAAAATCGCTTTTAAGGTATAAATGAGGGCAGCTTTCAAGAACACGTTGAGAGCTTCCTCTAAGCGTTTTCGCTGATTTAAAACCAAAAATAAGTTTGAGCCCCTAACTCCCAATTGTGGGTTGCTGAGATTATAGCACCACAGTGCACCAGCAGGCAGATTTGGTTGTGTGAATTTTAGAGGGTTAAAATCTCAAATTTAGCCGTTTTTCTTCGTGTGTTTCTGGAAAAGGCCAAAGTATTTTGGTAAGTTTTCATTTTCTGCTATTCTTCTTTTGGATAATTTCTACAACGTTAAAGTTCTTTCAGAAAACTTCTTTACTATATTTGCTGTTTGCTTATTACCTATGTGTGAAAATCTTGTTCTTATTTTCAGGCCTTTTTCCTTTAGTCTCTCTTCACTTTCATTCTTCCCCCTTATTGGAGGCCTTGTTTCTCCTCCGATACCCGAGTGCCGGTTGCCCATCCACTGGCGCTTTTCCGCTTGTTTGTGTTGTGTTTCAATGTTGCGCGATATCTCGAAATATATATATTTGTGATCACTTGATGTTTCTTGGTTTAAGATTCCCCAGTTGCTTATCTTTGTGCCTATGGGACCTCTTGTGATTGTCAAATCGACTATGGAGCTGGACCTTGGCTTTGAGAAAGTGGCTTTCCCGCCGACTCAAACTTACCAATACTAACCCAAACTTATCAATACTAACCCAAACTTACCAATACTAACCCAAACTTACCAATTCCAACCCAAACTCACCAATACTGATAAGCAAACGAGTAAGCAAACCCTAAATTTTTCTACGTATCTGTATCCGCATCCGTAAACGCATCGAATTACTTTGACCGCCTGTATGTCCTTTTAAGCAAGGCCATACATTACGTAAACGATCTTGTATGAAACGTTTTCTATCCTCGAAAAGTGTTGTATTGATTTTGTAGCGTTTATAGTTTTTCTTTTTACCTATAAGTACTGTATTAATGGGAAGATCTCCCGATAGTGTCAAATGATTGAGATTAGAGGCCCGTAACTATACGAATAACGCAACGCAGCGAAAGCACCGTATCATTCTATTCTGCGGGTAGATCGATGCGGATACGGATACGTTTGAAATTCAAGACCTGCTTTAAAGTGTCCAATCTATAAATTGCGTGTATAAATTTCCAGAACACAACTACCAAGAACCGGCCTGTCAGCATGTCATAGAAGAAATGCGCGAATGTTGCAGAAGGTGGAAAGACAAAAGTTACGTTTGTAACGGTATCGATACCTCAAAACCGGAGAAATGAACTCGAAACCAAAAAACTATTACGAGTATAGAAAACCAGGCCCCGTGCAACCTAGACAAACCAAATATTTCACCTCCATCGTCACTGTTTTCGCTTTGGGATTACTGTTTTCAAAGGTCATTTACGATACTGTTTTTATGCCCAGACCCAACATCGATCCTACAAAACTAGTGTCCGAATACCAAAAGAAAAAACAACAAGAACAGCAAAAATAAAAATGGAATCTGTTTCAAAGGCGAGGCAAAGATTCAGACAATATCCGACAATTTTTGCCAAGTGCACCAAAGAAGCGGGCGCGTATGCGACTTGCGTACTTAAACAAGACAATTTAAATAAAAATGATTGCGCCAAAGAGTTTGAAGGGTTTAAGGCTTGCTTGCAAAAAGCCGCTGTTAGTTTAAACACTAGAATTTAAACCATAGTAAAAATGTATTTCAAAATTATTATCAAAAATTTTTTAGAAGCCGATATGGTTACCCATATAATTATTTCATCAATAATCAGACTCCTGCTTATTGCCTATGGAGTGTTTCACGATAACAACTACGAAGTTCCTTATACAGATGTTGATTATAAAGTTTTCACTGATGCTGCAAGGCATGTGGTTAACGGAAACTCCCCTTATGAAAGGCACACTTTCCGTTACTCCCCTTTAATAGCCATTTTACTTACACCCAACATCTTTTTCAATCAGTTGTTTGGCAAAATAATCTTTTGCGAAGTCGATTTGATTGTGGCTTATTTCATAAGGCGTTTGGTTTATGTTAACATCATTGATTGGATGACTAAGTATGAGAGTTTTATGTCAAAACGGGCCCCACTTGTTAATTGTATCGAGCCTAAAACAAACAAGAAAAATTCTAAAAGGAAATTACCAAAATGTAATGCCAAAGTTGTGACTGCTATTTATTGGGCTCACAGAGCTATGCTTGTTTGGCTCTATAATCCTATGACTATTGCGATTAGTACTAGAGGCAACTCTGACTCTATTTCTTGTTTTTTGGTTATTTTAACTTTGTATTGTATACAGACCAATTGGAAACCATTTGTAGTAGGCTTATTGCACGGTTTTGCAATACATTTTCGGATTTATCCAATTATTTATAGCTTGCTTTATTATATGCATTATAGTAGTTTTGCTTATTATTTTGACAATGGTAGTAGTGGTATTAAACCTAGCAAAAAATCACATAAAAATAAACAAATAATAATTGCAAATAAATCCAAAGAATTATTTGGGTTTAAATTTTTGTGGTACTTGTGGCCTAATTACAATCAAATAATGTTAGTTCTAGGTACTTTAAGTACCCTCTTGAGCTTAACTGTATTTTTCTATTATTTATACGGCTACAAATTTTTATATGAGTCACTCATCTATCATTTTGTCAGGGTGGACTTTAGACATAACTTTTCTTTGTATTTCTATTTACAATATTTAGTAGCCTTTATAAAATTATCAGTTTGGTACACTGGCAACCTTTGGCAACCAATCCTAATCAATCTACCCCCAATAGTGTTACTATTAAACTTCTCAATCCGTTACGGCCTTAATAAGTTCTCACTAAACTTTGCTGTCCTCATTCAAACAATAGTTTTTGTTATTTACAACAAAGTAATCACTTCTCAATACTTTGTATGGATAATGGGTATATTGCCTTTGTGCATATGGCAAATTAAATTATCCAAAATTGCAATAATATCTATGGTTGTCATTTGGTTTCTAGCTCAAGCTGCTTGGTTGCTACCGGCTTATCTTTTGGAGTTCAAAGGGGAAGATACTTTTTTCCACATTTGGATTCAGGGGGTGTCTTTGTTTTGCGCCCACATCGGCATTTTGGGGCGATTGATTAAAAATTTCATTATGCCCAAAGGGGTGTTGAGAAGTTTCGAGAATAGAGCTCCAAGCGATAAGTTTTATGAATAATGTCAATAGTATTAGGTATTATTATTGGCTCACAGGAAATTGTAGAGTGATTGTGATTTTGTAATAAAATTAACTAGATGAAATGTTTTTTTTTCCACTGAAGACTACCATTTTTTTCCCCTCTACATTTGCATAATAAGGTTTATTTACAACAATATCACATTCTAAGATTTGCCGACGATATTGTACTATTTGCAAAAGACAAACAGGAATTGATAGATATTGTCACCACCCCTATATATGTTTCATCTTGGGACGTCACAACAGGAGCGTGACTTGGGGGCGTAGATGGAGTTCAGGTAAAGAGAAACTGGCTTGGTATAGGTATGATAAAATAATGTATTAAATAATAATAATATTACCCTAGAAATTCCCATTAAAGTTAGTTTGCACTGGGAGGAGATTTAGCTAGAGGGGCTTTTCCCATTTGAGGTACTTTACGCTAGCCTTAGTCTGCCGGTAATGAATTTCGGCGCGGTATTCAAGCTATGCAGATGACTTGGCCATTATAATCAAGGGCAAACATAAAGGCGTAATGACAAGCCGAATGCAAAGTGCTCTAAACATCGTTAAAAATTGGAGCGAAGGAGAGGGATTATCCCTAAACGCAAATAAAACAATCCTTATCCCGTTCACAAGAAGAAGGAAGCTAAATTTGAAAACCCCCACCCTTTACGGTACACAACTAACATTTTCTAACGGAGTGAAGTACTTAGGGGTCACCCTGGGCCGAACACTCACTTGGAATAAACAGTTAGAGAAAACATGCTCTCAAGCTACAGCAGCCATCTGGTCATGCTGAAAACTTGAAGGCAAAACATGGGGGCTAAAGCCAAAGATGGTATTCTGGATTTACCAAACTTATTGGTGTGGTGGCCCAAAACCCAGCAAGTCACCGCTCAGATCAAGCTAAGAAAGGTGCAAAGGCTGATATGTCTAGGAATAACGGTAGCAATATCAACTTGCCCCACCGCAGCCTTAGAGACACTACTCAACATGCCCCCACTTCACCTATGTGTGAAAAAGGAGGCAATAACCAGCGCTCACAGGCTATTCCAAATAGACAAGTTCAAGCCTGGTGATCTGAGGGGACATCTGCGCAACCTTGATTTAATAAAACTGGAGAATGCCAGCAAACCAAGTGACCACATGATGGTCAGATTGGACTTAGAGATCCCCTTCGTAGTGGTAATAAACGACCGCCAATGATGGGAGAATAAAGAACTATCACAAGCAGATAATACATCTCTATGGTACACAGATGGATAAAAGCTAATGGAAGGAGCTGGACTGGGCATTTCCGGCCCTTACTTCAACCAAGGCATTGGGTAAACATCTTTCAATATTTCAAGCCGAACTGCTTGCCATAGATATATGTGCACAAGAGTGTCTTAACCAAAGCCTCAAAAAAAACACATCTTCATACTATCGGACAGACAAGCTGCCTTAAAAAGCCTTATAAGGGCTTTCAAATGCACGTCAAAACTAGTCTGGGAGTGTGAACAGACCCTAAAAACATTAGCGACACACAACCAGGTAACGCTGATGTGGGCTGCCTCGGGGCATAGAAGGACACTAAGACATCAGATTGGTGATAGGACTGCTCACAGGACACTGCCTGGTAAAATACCATTTGAGGTTAATGGACAGAGCAGAAGACGATCTCTGCAGATTCTGCTCAGACACAATAGAGACCGCAGATTACCTACTGTGCGAATGTCCAGCCCAATTCTGCAACAGGCTCAAATTCCTCGAGGGGGCAACAGTGTCACCAGAAGAAGTGGGCCATCTGACACCCAGGAAAATAGCTTCCTTCGGCAGAAGTCTACGCTTCTTGGAGACAACTTAAGATAAAAGTCACGTACAAAATATCTGCAAAGGTAGCAGTGCTGAGCGGCTGAAAAGCCGTCTGGAAACTTGAAATAATATGTTGTTTTTCCAAAGGGTTTGTAAAAGTTATATACCACTGATTTGTGTAATTATATAGTGGAAGGTGCTAAATGATTTTCTCTATATAAATTGGCAAGGTATTTAGATATCTGTTCAGGTGATGGGTTTTAAAGAGAAATATTCATCTCAGATATCCAAGATAAACACTCCTTTTCCAATTTTCTACTAATCTAGACCAACTCGTATTCTCCAATCCTCCAAAGTATAAAGGTGTGCCTCTGGAAGAGGATATGCGGTTTTTGCATCCACCAGATGTTGATGTAAGTTTCGGATGGGAATCGGAGGGGCCGTTGCTCGAGACATCAGTTCTCCCCAAAAAAACCGTTCCCATTTCGGAGCATTCAGAATGTAGGTAGGTTCCTTTAGCTTGATTTGGGTGGTTCACGAGTAGGACTTGTGGAATCACGCAAGGAAGAGGAATGTGACGCAGCCCATTATATCAGACCTATATTATAATAATACTTATCTATTTACCTGACCAAAATGTAAACTTTGCTAAAATGGGATCTTTTTTCATATTTTGTAAGCTTCCCACAATAGAACATGAAGAAAAGGGGCAAGGCAGGTAGGTACCGGCCTCGACCCTCCAAAACTGTTATTGTGCTTGTAACATCATATTTTTGATTTGTAAGACATTCTAAAATAAACCATCAAAGTGAAAACGCAGCGTCTTTTATTTTGATTCGTTACAATTCAGAAGTGAGATAAAGAATTCCATATATATATTTTTTTCTCTTACGTATTTCGCGTATTTATCCATTTTTTCTCGATTTTTCGCGATGAGAAGTGAGAGTGACAGTGATGATAACGAACTGGACCATAGGTCGTCGCGACGGAAACATAGACATTCAAAAAGCCACTTAGAACGGAATTTGGCTAGAGATCGCGAGCGGAGCCGATCTGAATCACCATCAAATGATGATGAAAACCGAGCTGGTCGCAGAAAAGAAGCAAAAAAGCGAAGAATTGAAGAGCTTATAGCAACAAAAGTGACTGAAATTCTGAGTCAAATTCAACCGACTATAAATGACCCCTCTTCGGCTAGCAGTACACAGCAATCAACCTCAAGGTCTTCAAGTGGTATAAATTTTGCAAAAAGTGAAATTGTTCCTATTTTCGACCCTGAAATTGGCGACGTCAACTCTCAAAATTGGCTGAACAAAATTGAGCAGCTTGGAATGATTCACCATTGGGACGACGCTACAAAATCGTATTTTATGCAATCAAAATTGTCCGGTATAGCCAAATTGTGGTACAATGGCCTTCGAGAATATAGCAAATCATGGGTAGATTGGAAAAATGCATTGTTAAAAGCGTTTCCGTCGCATGAGAATTTTGTGGACAATTTGAAGTTGATGCTGGATAGAAAAAAACAACCTGATGAGACAATATTACACTATTATTATTCAAAATGCGTGTTAATTAGAAAGTGTGATATATCGGACGTTAATGCAACTTCCTGTATAATTGATGGACTTCCCCACGAGCATCAGGCAACTGCCAAATCTGCTAATTTCAAAACCCCAGAAGAATTATTCCAGGGATTTTTGTGCAAACTAGCCAACACTCCTGTGCTACAAAAAAGTGAGAAAAACATGAAAACGGATTTAGCCAAATGTCATGTTTGTAAAAAAGGTGGACATTTAGCTCGTAACTGTTTTTTTAGAGATGCTAGTGCAGGACCATCTGGACAATCAAAATTTAGTGAATTCAAAAAACCGGGAGATTTCAAGTCAGGGGGCGCTAAAAGAATTAAAGAGTGTTCCCACTGCAACAGGAAGGGACATGTGAAAGAAGATTGTTGGCATTTGAACCCGGCTAAAGTACAACTATTACAAAGGCAAGTACCAAATAGTAGTTATATGATTGATGTTTCTATAAATAATAATACTTTCAAAGGGTATTTAGATACAGGGAGCCAAATTAATGTTGCAAATATTACCGTAATGGATAAACTCAACATTAAGTTGGAACCATCGAATATTGTAGTTAAAGGTTTTGGTAATAACATTATTTTTCCTAAAGGAATGAGCTCTGTAGATTTTAAATTTAAATATTTTTCCATAAAGTCTGATTTACATTTTGTAGTGGCCGACCCAACAAACACAGTACGTACTGAAGACGTACATTTTAGGTCCGTTTTACGTCGGTTCGTCGGGGATGTAAAACTACGTTTTGAGTACGTACGTGAAAGGCTGTATTAATATACAGACAAAAAAGTACGTACCAAGTACGTACGTGAAAATCTGTAATGCGTACGTCTTATAAAAGACGTACATGTTCGTTTCAAAGACGAACAATACAAGACGAACTGGATCATTACCATCTATTCATGATTTTTTTTATTAATTTCTGATCATGATATATTATTTAAATAATATGCAATTTCCGAGCAAAAGATACGGGAGTGGTAGGTAGCCTTCCAAATTAACCTCCAAACCTAAACCCAAAAATGCCGGTCAGATTGACATGGATTTCCTTAAACCTTAGATCTAAACTTAATAAATACGAATACATAGTCATTTTGAACGTTTTGTGAGGCAGGTCATATTATATAATCAAGGATTTATATTTCATTTAGGTACCTGACCTAAATAAATGGTCAAATTTCAAGATAAGATAAACATGAAATAAAGCATTGGAAAGCAAGGGACGTCGGCCGCTTGACAACAGCAGGGTGCAGTGTTGCCAAGGACCCGATAATTATCGAAATCTACCATCATTTTGACTACAATTGAATAATCGATAATCACAAGCTAAATCTACCATAATTGAATGAAACTACAGTTTCAATGCATATCTTTAAAATTTTTAGTTGAAAATTAAACATTTATTTGGTTGGTGGTTTTGACCTCAGGTTTTGACGTACGGGTGATCGCACCAAATACTTCCCAGCTAGAAATGAGTTGACCTCACAGCACCGTTAGTTTTTGGTTAATTTTTTTGTTAGAAAAATATAAATAGAGATTAGAGATGAAAGTCAAAAAAATTGACACAAACTTTTTCTGATAATTTTGAATTTGACATCTGGCAACACTGGCATCTTCGACCACAGCTTATCGGGGGGTTCATCGTTCATCTGTTCATATTTTGATGTGACGCCTCGCTTGAGTTGTTTCTGCCTGCTTTTGC